GGCCCTCGTGTTGGATCTACTAATGTCCACGGACCCTCAATCGCATTCAGTAGTTCCGTGTACAGCCGCGACGATGGAATGGCTGTTTCGAGGAGAAGCAGTAGTGAAACAGCAGTAGTGAAACACTGGTCGAGTTGCGACGAGTCGCATCCCAGTGCTTTACGAAGGGCCTGCAGTCTCGTGTACTGCGGCGGCTTTTCCTGAGTTTGAGAATGCTGGTTAGGCATCAGGGACCCAAAGCCCAATCCCAGGTAAATGCTACCCCTGTGTGGTAGAGGGACGAGGGGAAGCAGTTGAAGAAGAGATATAAGGAATGGCGTGGTGCAGGCAATTGCGGGAGACCTGCCGAGTCCCTTCGCAATATCCTAGCAGAAAATCTGCCGCCCTTTCCTTATCGTGGAAGTTTTCTTCCGACTGTTCCTGGCGCAAGACTGGCTTCGGCGGGGCGCCGGATCACACTGGACCAAACACCGAGTCGACTTTTGACTACATATAACTAGTAATAGTCTGGTATAGCAATCATGCCACTCCTCACAAACAGGTAACATGAACTTGAATGAATATCCACGGAATTCAATGCCTGGATCCCCATTCGCTATCATTGCGGGCGTTGGCCCGGGCACGGTTTGTAATCCACATCGCCTCCTAACAGGGTCGTGCAGTCGCCCAAGTCTTTGCAAAAGCCTATCCCGTCGTGCTCCTCTCGCGCAGCGCGAATTCCTTCGAGGAAGTTGTTAACGAAATAAAATCAACAGGGAGGGAAGCGGTGGGCGTTGTCGCTGACCTCACTAGCGTGGAGAGCACGCGTGATGGATTCGCAATCATCAGCAGGCTAATCCCAGACCGACCGCTAGCAGCTGCTGTATTTAACGCGGGTACTCTTGTCCGCAAGCCATTCTTGGATCTCTCAGCTACAGAGTTCCATGATGCCTTTGCGAAGAATGCGTATATTTACTCCTCTGCCAAACTCTCATCAAACCCGTGGAACAATACTGATAGCAGCAACAGCGGCGCCGGCTTCAATTTCTCTCAGGCTGTCCTTCCCTTACTCCTTCGGTCACGGCAGCGGGAGTCACACCCACCGACTCTCATCTTCACTGGTGCAACTGCTAGTTTGAAAGGATCATCGAGATTTGCGCCCTTCGCGGCTGGGAAATTCGCCTTGCGTGCCGTGGCGCAGTCATTGGCGAGAGAGTTCGGACCTCAGGGGGTCCATGTGGTGCATGCTATTATTGACGGCATTATAGATACACCTGCTACTAAGGGATGGAACGTTTCCGGGGAAAAGCTTGATCCACACGCAGTAAGTAGATCATGCCCTCCGGAAGTACTGGTTTTGCTGCAAGCGACTAAAATGATATTCAATTGAATCGCGAGTTAGATCGCTCAGAGCTATTGGTACCTACACACACAGCCACAGACAGCATTCACATTTGAGTTGGATCTGCGGCCGTGTAGTGAGAAGTGGTAGGCAAACTACTTCAGTCAAATCCTCGCCACCTGACATAGTGATATACTGTGAGACCAATTGCTGGTTGTGTCCCCAAACAAACCATTTGTGTCCTTTATGTCATATCTTGATCCACTGCTTGAGCAAGGGGCGGAATACTATCTAGGCAGATTGAAAGTAACTTCCACCAGACACCTAATCATAAACAGCCTTCCTCTAGGCGCGTGAGAGTTTTGTACCAAGTTAGCTTTGAACCTGGACGTTTCATCGAAACCAGCAACAAGGAATGAATGGCTCCAAGACTACCTGGAAGACAGCGCAATTGTATAGGTTGATTGGTGATATTAGAAAAGATGCCCAGTAGGAGTACCCGCAGAGACATTGAGCAGTCAGCAGGTTGAAAGCGCCTACACTACTGACTAGTCTATCATACTTCCGTTTTGACAAAACTGTCGGCGTTTTGACTGCTGACAAAGTAGCTTTCCAAACGCCGAACGACACTTCCGAGCGAATCAGGTGGCAATCCACTGCGGGTTGAACGGTATCGCTATGGATATCCTTTTAAGTTCAGATTAGAATCTACTTGCTGACATATCCACATATATTTTGCGTACTGCGACTTCCGCAGCCGCCAAGGCGTCCCCCTCTATATATTCATCAGTGATTCTTCCGGTAAAGAGATAAATATACAACTACTTCAGCATCTGATTAAATCCGTCGCGACGGTGACATGACAAATATCCGATACCAAAGTGTTCCGTGCATTCAAGTTGCCGCTTCTTTATCATGCCTCAGCAAACCCTCGACCGTCTCGTTCCTCGCGGCCTTGTCAGTGCGGAACTAGTCTTCTACGAGCCCCCGGCTGATGGATCAGCTCCATTCAACTACGTGGAAGAACCCTCCACGGGCCAGAAACCTCGTAATTATGGCAGTTTGATAAAGACAGTCCCCATATCCGATATCCGAGGAGAAGAAGATCGAATGTCTCTAGATCGGGAAGGGTTCGAGATCTTGCACAACGTTCCGTCGTCAGCGACCTATGAGACCTTTTCCTCGGAGGATGAAATCAAAAAGTGCTACTATCCAGAGGTGGAAAGACTGCTTCTAGACTCCATCCCGGGCGCACACTCTGTTGTCCTCTTCGATCATACTATTCGACGAGCGATCCCCCAGGCGGCCCGCCAGCCAGTCAACCAAGTACACGCGGACCAGACCAAACGATCCGCCGAGATGCGCGTCCGTAGACATATTCCTGATCCAGCGGACGCAGAGAGGCTTCTCCAGGGACGGTATCGTATCATCAACGCCTGGAGGCCAATCAACGGCACGGTCGAGTCCTCCCCGCTGGCGTTCGCGAGTGCTGTAACGTCGTGCGATTCCGACTTCGTCACGATTGAGCACCGCTACCCCAATTTCAATGGTGAAATCATGGGGGTCAAGTACAATCCGAACATGCAGTGGAAATATGTCTCGGGGCTGCGAGGTGATGAGACACTCCTTATCAAATGCGCGGACACACAGGCTGGTGTGGCACAACAGATAGCCCGCTCAGCTTTTGTTGACCCTCGCTCAAGGATCGATGCCAAACTGAGGGAAAGCATTGAGGTCAGAGCATTGGTATTTGGTTGATGTCAACGGACACAGGACCGACCTCCTTTGACTATCGAGTTGCGATCCCGTTGTTGTACCCACTGTTCAATCCGAGAATCAGTTTCATTTAAGGCACCATTTGGAGCCTCTGTCAGGCGGATTCATTGCTTTGTACAGTTCCAGAACTCAAAAAATACTACTAAACTTAATCAGTGGCGTCCTCTTACTCCACCAGCTCATTCACACTTCATGCAGTGTGCGCGAGGAGGTCATGTTGTATGTATACCGGCAAGCTTATAGACGGACTACTTTCATATTAGCAATATTGGAGGGCTAGGATGATGGTTGATTACCGTAAGGTAGCATACCACTGACCCAGACCAAGCGCCGGTTGAATCAGGCTTATATATGATTACTCATAGCACTGGCCTGGCGATCGTATCCGCCAATGTCGTGAGATTTCGATCTGCAGCGCGGCCCGGGTAAATTGTCGATATCATGCCGACAAGTTGTTGCTTCAACTTTCATAACGTGCTATAAAGAGGCACACGAGACATTGTAAGGCTATTATGTTGTATATAGTACTCTCGCAATGTAACTCGGAAGATTCGGTTTACCAGCGCCGGGATACCCAATCCACCCTGCCGAAGTCACTGACCTTGACCGGGTTAACCAACTAAAGGTTGAAGTGAGGGAACCCCGGCCGACCATTCTAGTCACTCCGCAGTTTTTCAGCCGTCCTACCGAGATAGAAAGTGACCGTCATCAACCGGGTCGACGGATTTCCCGCTCACCTCTGGTCAAAACATTGACGGGCCCTGCGCTCTGCGAACATTCCAGCATAGCCGGCTCTCCATGGTTTGCATTGGTATCGCTCTGGCTACAATGTCTTGTCCACTCGTGTCTACTTTAGAAACATTGGCCGGATTTTAACTGCGGGTGGTGCATCTGGTTTAGTGCAACTTGGCCGAGCATCTTCGGTAAGTTCACAGTGGCGCACTACACAGACTGACAACGTGCGCCGTGGAGTATAATCAACGGTCACAAAGTATACTGCTAAGAAGAAATAATCTGTAATCGGAAGCTACTAGGTGTATATAAACAAGGACTTAATACAGCCCGAGTTTCTGCTACTATGACATAAGAGTTTACTTTTATTTGAATGTACACACAATCCAACTGCAGCCTTGGTGCTAACTAGGCACACATTAATTTATTAACGCCGTCCCCAGATATGCCTAAGATATAAGGAGAGAGTCATGTAGCAGTGTGCAAATCAGGGGGGTTACAGTTTATCACCACACGCGAAGCACGCTTTAATGTCTAATTGCCGAAAGCAGGTTCCTGCTTTGCAGCATCGACAGGGGTCAGATAAGATACACGGTCCTTGGTGTAGAACTCAATATCGACCTTGTTACCCAAGTTGGCTCCTCCTTTGTCCAGAGTGCCTGCTTTGATTACGGTCTTATCTGGCATAATATCCAACTCGGTGTAGAGACTGGACCCGCACGTTGAACAAAAGAAGTGACGGTTGTTCTTCCCACTCTCTCCGGGAGTGTCGTAGTACGTCGCTTTACCTATGGTCAGTGTAAGCTTATGGGTCAATTATGAAGGGCTGCTTCTTATTGGTACGTACCTGCCGTCACCTTGAACGAGACTCGAGGAATAACGACGTTTGAAGTAAATGCACCACCAGTCCACTGTATAATGTTGGTAAACATTAGATCGCACAAAAGGAGGACCCTCCTATAAACTTTTAGGGACTAACCTTCTGGCAATCGACACAATGGCAGAGAGCCGTGATATCTCCAGTCGCTGAATTACGTAAAGATTAGCCTGAGCCCGGGCAGCTCAATGCTCCTTGTAGATCTTTACGTACCATCCGAGCTGAACCTCACAGTGCCACACAGGCAGCTACCCCAGAATGGCATGTTGTCGTTGGTAGATTGAAACAATAACTGGGTGGACGATAGTAAGGCTTCCAAACGCAGTAGGGTGTTATTGTATGGTTATAAGGGCCTCTAGAACTTGCGTTTTCAAGGTTAGGATAGAACCATAGATATAGAGGAGGAATCTCACGAAGGAAAATCTCAAATGCACAATAGACTGGCTGGGAAATATCTCCTTTTAAGATTCATTCAAAGTATCTTAGTAATGCTCTAATGCCCGACAAACGCCGAGGGATAATTTTCAAACACCGAACAGTTTACGTGTTCACATGGGGTCCGGAAGTCGTGGGCCTTTAGTATGAGCACATTCTGACAAACATGACTCTCTACCATCAATACTTTTTAGTTTTCATTAAAGCTTCGTCTCCACCAAACATTCGGTCACCTATCGAGGACTTGGTAACCGCGACGTTGGACAAAATGCGATATCACGCTCATAGATTTGATATGATCAACGAGCTATGACCAGTCAGGGGCCGCCGCCCACATTTGCTAATACCCATCACATCCTGTTAGCATAGTATGTTGTGTACATGTTTAGCTCTTGTGAAATAATGTTCTCATAAGGAAGAAAGAGCTGTGGAAAGTCGCGCTCTCGCGTCATCCCTCACTTCCTGAACGATGTCGGCCGCGCCTTCCACTTTTTTAACTAACCCAACCCCCGTCCCCGCCCAGATACTTCCTGTATCCTTGGGTTCCAGTGGCTCACTGCCATCCTGTCGCGCTCCAGCATAGAGCCAGGTGCGGATCCGGTCAACGCCAACTCCATTCCGGTAATCTTCGTACACCTTATTCCTCAAACACCGTCCATCGTACGCCATCGGCCAGAAATTAGGTCCCCATATGTCATCAAAAATCCGGGATCGAGCGGTGGTGCTGGCCCCGTCAGATGCGTGCAGGATCGCATCCCGGTAGATGTCAGGAACCCGCGTTTCCCTAGCAGCCAGGAATCGAGTACCCATTACCACGCCAGATGCCCCCAGCGCCAACGCGGCTGCGCATCCTCGTCCATCTGCGATGCCACCTGCGGCGATCAGCGGAATATCATAGATGGTACGCTCCCTGAGCGCATCTGCAACTTCGGGGATAAGGGAGACGATGCTAGCACCGTCCTGATGCCCATGCCCCCCTGCATCACTGCCTTGAATGACCAAAGCATCGGGTCGACATGCTTCCGCTACCTCCACGGCAGCTGTTACACTGCCCAGCTGTATCCAAACTTTTGTTTCCGGGGTGGCGCGCCTGATCTCCCTTGTCCATGACGTGAATTCGGGTGTGCTAGCAAAAGAAAGCCAGACTACTGCAGGTTTATATAGAGAGAAGAGCGACATCCAGTCGTCCACGGGCGATCCGAAAACGATGATCCCTACTCCGATAGGGAGGATATTTGGATTAGGAAGAGATTTCATCATATCCTGGAGGCCATGCTGGGCTTTCTTTAGGTGTTCCGATAACATTTGGCGGTTATCCATGAACCCAATTTGCCCAAGCCCACCGGCACGAGTTACAGCGATAGCCAGGTCGCTCGCTGCCGCGCCGCTCATTGGTGCGTTGATGATGAAAGGTGACTCCATCCACGGAAGATGCTTGCGGAGGATAGTAGAAAGCGCCATTGATGTAATGTATGAGATACTTTGCAACAATGTGAGCAAATGTTTAAAGATTCATGAAAGAAAATATTTTGATTCTACTGGAAACGTTGGGAGTGGCCATGTTTATACCTGTGGTAGTCGACCGACGACCGTCTCATTTGTCAGCAAAGGATGTACCCATGGATTGGGGCTGCAAACGGTGTTGATCAATGATCTTGTTGATCTCTATTTTGTGGATAATGATTTTATCAGAGAATAGATTCACTGCAAGTCTTTCAAGTCTTCGTACAGTACAGAGCAACTAGGCTCATACTTTGACCCCCTAAATTGCCCAAGCGCCCTGGCATTCAAGAGGCCCATTGAATTTTGCCACTAGTTGCAGCAACATCATCGACTACGGGCACCCTTTTTGTCCCTTCACTATTCCAGGGACAAAGATATATCTTTAGAAATTGTTTACTGGGATTGTGGTTAAAGGTCGGGGCGGTTACTGCCTGGAGAATAATACATTTCTTGCGGAAATATACCGAGAAACCCTGGTTTTCGCGTGATTGGGGTCGTTTGCAGAATTTACGTCCACCTCACTTCCAAACAACGAACCGGTTATATGCAGAAGCACTACTGACATGCGCAATACTAGGAGCCATATGGCAATCATTGTGAATATAGGACAGACCATATATCTTGTGGAAGTTGTGTATGGAGCTGTGGATCAGCCTTTCCAATTCCGCTTAGTTTAGGGCAATTTTCAACTGATCACCGCAGTCAATCAGCGAAGCTATACGGAGTAGTACAAGGATCTTCCCTATCCTGTTGATTATAACTAAAGAGGTTGGGTGTATTCAAATCTCTTAAAGAGGAAAACTTAGTCAGATATCTATCATTTCATTAAGGCAAAATTCTTTCCCCAAGGATTCCTGGTTCTCAATGGTCATACTATGACACGAAGTCTCTTTGCAGAAATGTTATAGTGGAATAGGTCATTCAAACCACGACTGGCATTTTCATGATTTTTCAAACTAGATTGCTGCGCCGCCTTTCGGCAACATCAATTCGAGCAAGGTGCAGGTTAGGATAAAGTTTTCGGCGACGGAAGGGATCGCTGGTTTTCTGCAAAGGCCGAACTTGGGTGGCGATACACCGCCCGCATAGGTGTGTATCTACGGTCCTTTTTCAAACGCCGACATCTCCCACTAGGGGCTTTGCCTTTCCCATTGCTGGAGAACAACAAGTCGTATTTCCATGCGACGTATGAGAGACTAAATATAACGGTCTGTCCGACAAGGACATTGCCAACCCCCTACCACGACTGACTCGGTGATTGATTGTCCGGCCGCGCCAATAGTGGAGACGTCAGATCCATACTATCGAATCTCCGCAATTGACATGGCGATAGAACAGCAAAGGCCGAGTCAAAGTTACCTTTCCCAAGCGTTCTGGACGTGCCAATGGAACACACCTAGGCTGAATACCATTGCAATTCGCCATCATGAAGAGCGGTGTGATCATGGGAAATAATAATATAAAGGGAGAGACGATTTCCGCTGACCTCCTTTCCTCATGCTCATTCATCCGTCTTCTATTCAGAATCCTCTTGGACGAACGAACTTTTTACCTCGCGCTTATTGTCCTCTCATTCAGGCAAAGATAGCCCTACACTTTAACAATGGCTTCCAAGATGATGCAATGGTCTGTTGATACTCCCAACCAGGACTTCGGGGGCATGAGCTACGCCGAAGCTCCCGTCCCCTCTGTCGGCGAGAACGAAGTTTTGGTGAAGTTCCAGGCCGCATCTCTCAATTTCCGTGACCTTGCCATTGCAAAGGCATGAAACTGCTCTTTCCCTCCTCTAATCAACACTGGGTTGCAGTTTTCTAACTGACTGCTTATAGGGAACATTCCCATTCGCTCATAAGTATCCGATCGTCCCCGCCTCGGATGGTGCCGGCGTTGTTGTTGAAGTCGGATCCCGCGTCCGGGAATTTAAGAAGGGCGATGCTATCCTAACGATCTTCAACCAAGCCCATCAGTTTGGTGACATTGACCCCTATGCTGCATCGAGCGGTGTTGGTGGAACCATCGATGGCACACTGCGGCAGTATGGTATTTACCCTGAGCTTGGTCTCGTCAAGGCGCCCAAGAACTTGGATGCGGTGGAAGCTTCTACTCTTCCCTGCGCAGCGCTTACCAGCTGGAATGCTCTCTACGGCCTCAAGTCTCTGAAACCTGGTCAGATTGTTTTGGTGCAAGGAACCGGTGGTGTCAGTATCTTTGGGTTACAAGTAAGCCAAACCTCATAGTTAACTGAACCTTAGGGAGCTGAAGACTGACGTCCTATTGCTCTGTAGTTCGCCAAAGCTGCTGGTGCGACTGTGATTGCCACAACTTCCTCTGCAGGGAAGGCAGAGAGACTAAAGCAGATGGGTGCCGACCATGTCATCAACTATAAGACCACTCCCAACTGGGGCGAGGCTGCTCGCCAGCTTACCCCTAATCAGGCTGGTGTCGACTATATCATTGAGGTTGGCGGGCAGGGCACCCTTGAGCAGAGTCTGAAATGCATCAAGATGGATGGCATTATCAGCGTTATTGGCTTTTTGGGATCTAGCGACAAACCCCAGCCCGGACTACTCGAGGCCTTGAGCAATATCTGTACCGTCCGTGGTGTTTATGTCGGTAGCCGTGCTATGTTCCAGCAAATGGTTCAAGCTATTGAGGCTACTGATCTTCATCCCGTGGTCGATTCTCATGTTTTCAGCCTGGAGCAAACCAAGCAGGCTTATGAGCACATGGTAAGTCGCTGCCTAGTTGGCGATTCTCCTCCTCCCCCGACCTGTGCTAACATGGTGGACTCAGGCTGCCCAGAAGCACTTTGGTAAAGTTGTTGTCAAGATTGAGTAGGGACATAGAAGCCATCGCCCTCAAGCCTGCTAAATAACTGTATTCTTTGTTCAGAAACGGTAATGGCATGTAGTGGAGATGAGCATAAACAATCATTACACTAGTATAAAAACTTTACGATGTTATCCAGTATATAAACTACAACCCCGTTGAATGGGATCATATCTCTAACTTCACTCTGGTGATGGCCGGCTGCGTAAAAAGATGGAAATATCATCACAGATAGTTACCTGGTTTCGCTAGTGATTAACGAACGTACATGGAGTATAATGCCTGGCTTTGGAGAGAGTTCGGAGCCATAGAGACCAATGCCAAGTTCAAAGCTGCCTAACCGAGGAGACCAGAACCTACTATGAGCTAACGGCGCTTAGCTAATAAATATCTTCCCTTCAGCCACAAAGGCTGCCCTGCCGGCAAGCTTGATAGTAGAGACCTTGGTTCCCTCTTCGTCTAGAGTGATGTCAACCACAATGTGGCTATCTCTCCCCATCTCTGCTCCTTGATCGATGTAGAACCTATGTTTCCGACTCTGTTGACCCTTGCTCAAAGCCAGATAAGCGCCTAGAGCGCACGAACCGCTTCCACACGCCGGATCTTCCAGGTTGATAGCGATCATACGAACGCGGAGATTCCAGACTCTTGTGTCGCCCTGCTCTCGAGATCCCAGTGCTCTATAGTACATAATACCAGTGAAAGACGGAGCCCAGCCCTCATCGAGATCGAGTTTCGGGCTATCACCGGGCACCAAGTTGGCGAAAAGACCTGGGTGTTCCGTAAGATCCATCAGAACATAAGTCACCCCCTTGACGATGGAAACCGTTGGATGCGTATCTTCGACATCCTGGAAATCCGAAGCGCTCATACTGGGCTGGACATCTTTAATGTTCGTGATAGGGGTCCCGCGGGAATGCACGTGAACATTGTGGGGAACTTCGGCCGAAACCACTTCCTCTGAAGGTTCATAGCTTACCGCAACTGGCCCGGCCTTCGTCAAAATCGTCAAGTTCTGTTGTTCTTGTCCTGGGGCGTGGCTGTTGTTACCCTGGAGCTCCCGAAAGAGGAGATGACCGGCCCCAATAACAGGGTGGCCAGCGAAATCCATTTCGTTGACGGGCGTGAAGATATCCACTCTTGGAGGTTGTCCGGCCTCTGCATTATGCAAGAAAACAGTCTCTGAAAAATTGAACTCTCTCGCTATCCGTTGCTTTCTCTCTTGTGGTATATTGTTATTGCCGACTTTTACAACGGCTAGAGGATTCCCTTTAAATCTAAAGTTCCAAGTTAGTACCCTCTCATATCTGCCCGGATCTGGACGACTTGGAAAATATTGGTCATGGACCGTCATACGCGCACTTACCTTTCTGAAGCGAAAACATCAAGGGTGACTTGTCGTTCGTTGAGTCAATCAAGTGCATCTCTTCCATGGTTTTGGCTGCCAGCTTACCATAGTACGCGTCTCTCTCAGGCATTTTGTGCGTTATCTTCTTCGTGTGGACGTATGCGTATGTCTGATGTGTTTTGCGCAGGTCGAAGATGGTGACTAAAGGTTTTAAAGGGAGCACTGCTTTTAACAATACACGGACGGATGCAGGTTCAATTGACAATGGAATCGGTTATTGTCGGCCGGATGTACAGTCAGGGAAGATCGGCGACTGTTCGGCCTTCGGCCTTTGTGAACAATATCCTGGCGTATCCAATTAGGCCAGGTATGATTATCATAATTCTTCCTAAGAGGTCCCTGCTATCAACATGTCTAATACCGTCGGCTAGTGTCGGGATATCATTCTGTTGGATCGGGCCTCTGGCCCAAGGATATCTCGACGATACGAGACTGGTGTCGCTTCTGATTCTAGTCAACTCACGTCGCATAACCGTGCTCAGGGGACATCTGATACGTGTATCCTTGCCTTATGCTTCTGGTAGCTAGAACTTCCATAGTATTGTGGATTTAATTTAAGAAATCAACTCAATTTGATTAACGAGTAGCACGTTTGCCCACATTTAAGATCGAAACTGAAATTAACCCACGGCGGACGGTTCAATATCGATAAAATATATCTGGGTAGGATTGTTTGCCTAAGCCAAAGTCGGCGATGGACGATCCTGCGATGAATGCTGAGAGAAAAGTAAGAAGATAATGGACAGAATCTTGAGCCTACACTGATATTCAATTGAGACATAGCAGGTGTCCACAACAATTCAATGCGTGTTCCGATATTATCCGGATTCTACGTGTTTATATATCGCCTCTTCGGAGCAGTTACACCAGGGTATTGTTGATTTCTTTATGTTATCTGCGCTAGATCCTTACTTTAGGAACGTGACATTGGACAAAGAGTATCAGATATGACTTTCAGCACAACTCTAACAAGAGCATTGGGCATTACACGTGAGTGTTCTACACGGTTAGATTGGATCAAAATTGAATACCTGCAGTTCCCGTTGTTCAGGGTGGAATGCAATGGGTCGCCTACGCTGAACTTGCTGCGGCCGTCAGCAACGCTGGAGGCCTTGGAATCGTATGTACTCTACAAAACTACGAGCTATCCATAGATATGCATCAAAGTTAAGTACGCTAACGTACCTTTGATGATAAAAGCTATCAGCTCTCTCCCAACCCACCCCGGAAGCCCTTCGGACAGAGATACGACGATACCGATCAATGTCACACAAGCCATTTGGGGTGAACATAACGATGCTACCAGCTCTTAACCCCCCTGATTATCTCGGGTACACAGAGGTGATACTTGAAGAAGGGGTTCGTATTGTTGAGACAGCAGGAACTAACCCGGCACCTATTATCGAACCCCTCAAAAAAGCCAACGTCACCATCCTGCATAAGTGCACATCGATTAGACATGCTAAGTCCGCTCTCAAACTTGGGGTGGATTTCTTGTCTATAGACGGTTTCGAGTGCGCAGGCCATATTGGGGAGAGCGACATCACCAATCTAATTCTGTTGAGCCGTGCAAGACAAGAGCTTGGTATCCCTTTCATTGCATCTGGCGGCTTCGCAGATGGTTTTGGTCTAGCTGCTGCCTTAGCGCTTGGCGCTGAGGGTATCAATATGGGAACACGGTTTATGTGTACAACGGAGGCACCAGTGCATCAAAACGTGAAAGATGCAATCGTCAGAGCCCAAGAGACAGACACGGCACTTGTCCTCAGACGGTGGAGGAATACTTCACGACTATTTGCAAATAAAGTTGCCAAGGAAGCCCTACGGATCGAGAGGGAGAGCAAAACTGGTGATTTCGATGAGGTTGCATCGTTGGTCAGCGGCAGAAGAGGGAGGCAGGTGTTCATGAATGGCGATATCGACTACGGGGTGAGGGACTGTGTGGCCTGATTAAATTCAAGACAGCCGTTAACTTAAATGATTAGGTATGGACCGTTGGTCAAGTCATCGGACTGATTCAAGATGTCCCATCCTGCGCAGAGCTCCTTGCAAGGATTGAGAAGGAAGCAGTGAAAGCCATGGAAAAATCCACATCGTTGTACAAACTGTCGCATGAACCCAAGGTCTGACTATACGAACTCGGCCAAAAAGACAAAGGACCCTTTGTTACAGAACACCTTTCTTTACGGGGAAACCCCTTTCTTCTATAGCTCCAAGCTGTGCACTGTGTGGATTCTAGTCATGACTGTGCTTGAACTACTACACTAGCAGGTCGCGCAGCTTAGGCGGATCCCAGGGCTTGACCTTATGCAGCATTAGAGATGTAATTAGGTATTATCAACCACCCTTTCGCTCATAAGTGGTGGGGCTGTTCCTGCATGGCCACTGATATTTTGCTTTCGGATAGCTGATATTGCAAGACCCTCCCCTCTTCCTCAATAGAATTAGTCAAATTTGACGCGTTTTTGCAGGCATGGTTGATAGTTGAACTGAGTGAGTTTTCAAGCGCGGGCAGGACACGTGAGTTGGAAAGCTCGCTTCCCGGTAACGTTAGTTAAAGATGGAGAACTTGAATCGAAAGAAGAAATCTATCTACTCTGTAGAAAGGAAGGCCGGCCTAGTGGCGAAGGTCGTGCGGTGTTGGCCACACGAGTCACGTGAGCGCTGACCTCTGATTGATCGACTGGGTGGGCGTCCAACAAGTTAGTTAACAATGTCCCTTGCTTGCGCAGCACATCCGGTCCGGTTAACTACCCCTCGAGCGGGGCACCCGCCACATGACCCGCTGCCAACGTTAAATAATGAATAACAAAAAAGTACCTCAGATTGCCCAAAGTAAGGAGGTTTTGCTTTCCAAGTTGGATTGATATCGCGGCCTCGTTTGGTGGGCCGCTTTTCGCATCCACACTTCGCTCTTAATCCATGCCACCCGGAAGCGCAGGATGTTGGACATGTCGCGTTCGACATAAGAAATGTGATCTGAGTACCCCAACATGCATTGAATGCTCCGATAGACACGTCCAGTGTCACGGGTATGGTTCGAAGCCAACGTGGATGGATGGCGGCTTGGAGGAGGAAAGAGAGCGGTCTCGTATCAAGGCTGCTGTACGAAAAAATTTCCGGCGCGTGAAGAAAAAGCAAGCCGAAGCTCGACACAGGTCGAGAGCAGAGTCTCAGAATGCTTCAGAAACGCAAGCAGACGCAGAAGCGAATCTTGTCCCAGCCACCACACGTCCAGTGCAATCTGTGTCTGGGAGCAAATCACCAGCCAAATCGGACGAGAACCAAATCATTCCACATCATGTTGCGGCCTCTGGTAGCCGATCTCGTACTGATCACGACTGGAACGTGCAGGAGGCACACCTACTGATGCATTACTTCGATCAGGTATTTCCATGGCAATTTCCATACCATCATACTCGTCTCTCTCTTGGCAATAGGGGTTGGCTTTTCTTGCTATTTATCCAAAGGGGGCCACTTTGCCAAGCCACTCTCAGTCTATCTTCACTACATCAGAGTGCACATCTTGGCACAGAGCAAGAGCTTTTGCAGAAACAGAGAGCGTTTGATCGGCACTCCAGGGTACTACAAGATATGTGTGCCCTCATGAGCGAGCAAGGTGATAGATTGATCCAGAACCACAACCAGCTAGCGGAGCTTTTGGCCTGTAGTGTGATGCTGATGAGTTTTGAGGTACCTGATCTCCCCGTTTGGAAACACGCGATCGCTGACAATTATGATTCAGGTTGCTCGAGGGGGAGAGCACGATTGGCTACTCCATCTAAATGCCATCATTTCTTTTATGAGCCATTTATCACCCGAAAGGATTTTCAGCCGTGGGACGCATAATATGTCTCTCAAGTCAGACGTAGCCGGCTTTTCCGACCAAGGAACTAGCGATGACAATGGTAGCCTGAGATTCATCATAGTTACCGGTCTATGGTTTGATATACTTTCGTGTATATCGACGGACAGAATACCGCAACTTCCGTACCAAAGGTGGCTGAGTATGAAAGGATTGCACATGGCTGACCTTATGGGTTGTGAAAATTGGGTCCTGGTAGCGATTGGTGATTTGGCACATTTAGCCAAATCACCAATGCAGAAACCAGACAAGGTCGAATGCGCCGCAGAGCTTCGTGCTCGAGGGAAAGAAATTGCCAGAGATCTGGAAAACGGCATCAACAAGCTTGAAATTGCAACGAGAGTGAGTTGGTGTTGATAACAGTCTTTAAAAATATCCTATGATGACCTAATTGATCCTTACTACAGGTCTCTGGAAAACAATCTCAAACAGACTGGGTTTCGCAATTCTTTGCAATAGCTGCACTTGTTCTCTGTCATTCTATCACATCTGGCCCTTCACTTGATTCTCCGGCGATACAAAATACGGTGGGAAAAGCCTTGGTCATGCTTCGATACAAGGAGAAGTCAATCTCTCTTACGGGCTCGGTATGGGCATTGTGTATAGTCGGATGCATGGTGTCTCCGCCAGATCGTCCATATTTCGAAAGCCTAATAGTGGAGTTGGTACATGCTTCGGGTGGCATTGGGAACACCGCCACTGTTCTGAAAATAATGCGAAAGTGCTGGGAGATGCAGCAGTTCGACGAGGCAGACTGCAGAGACGCCATGTCAGAGTTAGAGATCAATGCTCTGTTGATTTAACATTCTTGCCTAGGGGTCTCATTGATTTCAGCTGTGTTTGATCAGTAAGGGCCGCGGTACGCGTCAATCTTGGAAGCAGCACGTACTAGAACAAAGTGAAACCGGATGTCTCTGCGTTACGCGTCGCGAACCATGAATTTATATTGGCTTGGAACCATTAGGCATCATATTAATAAACGACCAGGAATCTCAACAGCGGCTTCTCAAGTACGGGCATCTACATCCATCTCAACTTCCCTCGTGGTTCCTTTTCTCCGTTTTCGTCCCCTGATACTGTATTCAAAAGACAATATGAACATCCAGCACCTAAATACATCTTCCACTTGTGAGCTACATTTCCTCCCCATTTCGTATCTTCTCCCACTTCTGTTCAACTTGACAGGTGTCTCGTCCATCACATACATCTTTCCCTCCAAACCATGCCTCTCTAACGAAAGCCAGTAATGCATTTCAATCCCAGTCTACATCCACAACAACGAAATCCGCCATTTTCCCGTAGTTAAATTGCCAACTTTAGCGTCCGTGAAACCACGCAGAGCTTTTCCAAAGCTACAGTATTGGACTAACAGAGATGTTGAGAGATAGCATATAAAGATCGGTCGCGAATTTATATCGTCCAGCATCGATGATGCTACTCCGGTCGGTGTTAACGAGTAGAACCAGTGGTTGCACATGACAGTTGAAGCATAGGGGTTCACCGAAGCGTCCTGGATAGTCGATCGGATATCCTCTAATGTTGGGGGAGGATGAACCTAAAAAGAAATCTGCGTATAACCGTCCATGAAGCCAGGTAAAACTTCTCTGTTTTAAAGGTCTGGATGCGCAACGCCACATTGCATGATTGAAGGTTCCTTTTTTCGTCGTATGGGCCAATAATGCCATTTTTCCGACCTTGAATTACCATGTTTCCCGCAAAGATTGCCTCTTCACGAAGGCCAGAATGTGTGGTGGTCAAAATATGACTATTACGGAAATGTATTTGATTTCCACGCCTTGCGACACACATTTTGCCATTGCTGAACTGAATATAGCAACTCCAGAACTAGATTGCTGTACATTTCTTGGCACCGAAAGATTTAACTGTAGTAGATTGATGTTTAGGTGTCCCATCCGGGGCATTGAGAATCCTTCCTGCTGTGGAGCGCGCTTCGAGTTTCCCTCCGAGCTTCACTCCCCTGTATGGAACTAATTGACACAAGTACAGGACAAGGGACTTGTGTATATCGAAACATGCCGATGCGCTGAACATACCCCTCAGCAGTCGTCCAACTGCTGTTAAGTAAAACGCGTGCCCAATTTACCCAATAGGCGACATCTCATGTCCCACTTGAAATAGAAATACCGGACAAATGGGAACTTGTGCAAGATTATCCTCCCGCAAGAACTATCCATGCCCTCAGGACAAATGTAAGGAAAGCAACCATCGCTGGCATAATTAACATTCTTACTGGTATGACGGAGGTATTTCACAGCGGATTGATGATTGCTGATTCATGGGTTCATTGCGCCGCATCCAGCGTAGTACGTCTCTCGGCTAGGGGGGAAAACCAGAGCAAGACGGACTTGCCTATACAGAACATGACCAAGCGTATTAACCTCGAGTATCTTCTGATTCAGTATTCAAATATGGACCACTTGGATGAAGAGGTTGGGAACAGTGAGGTTCGGAACAGTGCAGCCCGGCTTGAGTAATATGGTTATCGTTACAATTGGTTGCGTGACTAGAGCTAGTCAACTAGATACCTCGATATTTGGATGGGTAATCTCAATTCGATTTTCGGATGCGGATCTATTCTTCAAATTTCTTATGGACCGACACATCCTTTGGCTCGCATGAGTGTAAGGGCTACCAACGTTCTACGCAATGCCAAATGGCTCAGATACTAAGATTATTATAATACCTCAAAATCTTCGATCACTACGAACTGATAGCGTAGATATTTTATCCAATGTATCATTTACTATAGCAAGATTTAAAAAGCTCACGCGGCACCAGGCGGACAAACAAAGAGGAAATTAATTCGATAAGTGTGGAAAAAATCGTATATATATGATTCTGCTGAAATGCGTACTTGTTTTTATACTTTCTTCCTATTTTGCTATTGTCAAAATCTGCGCTTCCCTGAACCCCCTCTTAGAAAGAGGATAGCTATCTGCTCCAAGTAGTGATAAGTTGGGGAAGCTCGTGACGAATAGGTAAAGTCGAGCCGAGTAGGCCATCCAACATGTTAAGTTTAGCTACCAGTGTATTGATGAAGGTTGGAGATCGGCTCGCTGTCTCAGAAAAATGCAAAGCACCATCAACATGGGCCACACATCTTCCGACAACGGAAGAATCATCTGTTGTGAGATATATAAGTGGTAGAATGTTACCGAGACACGAAAACCTGCCAGCACCCAAATTTTGATCGCTCTCCTCTAAACATATTCCCCAGTTGCGAAGAGCCTCTCCAAAGATGAAGTATACACGAATGCCGATCGAGATTGAGTCACCGGAGGAGTATGGTTATGAAAGGATCAAATACAACCTCTCTGAGAGCTCGATCGCCGACCAGACATTGCAGTCTCTGGATCTGCAAATCCCGAACATCAAACTCATGTATAATGAGCACCAAGGTGACGCCAAGCTTCGTGAGCTGATTGCTTCCGACGCTGGCGTAAGTCGAGATAACGTTCTCATTACCAACGGCGCTGCGGGGGCCCTTTTCATCATCGCCACCTCTCAGCTATCAAGTAACGATCACATTGTTGTCGTTCGGCCAAACTACGCCACAAATCTTGAGACACCGAGAGCAATCGGCTGCCAGATCAGCTTCGTTGATCTTTCTTTTGATTCTGGGTTTCAACCTGATATCGCTTTTCTCGAATCTTGTATCACACCCAAGACTAAGATTGTCTCTATTACAGTTCCCCACAACCCGACGGGTACTGTTATTTCTGAACAGACATTGAATCAGCTTGTGGCTATCACCAAGCGAAAGAACTGTTTGCTACTCGTGGATGAGACATACCGCGATGTCCACTACGGCGTGCAACTTCCCGTCGCTGCATCACTCGGTGATCATGTTCTTAGCGTGTGCTCGTTGTCTAAGTCATACGGTACACCTGGAATCAGACTTGGATGGGTCATCACGCAGGACAAAAAGTTGCAGGAAACGTTCCTTGCGGCTAAGGAACAAATCAGTATCAGCGGGAGCGTGATCAACGAATGGATTGCCAGCGAACTGTTATCGCGCAAAGAGTCACTACTGCGGTCGACGAATGCGGAGATGAAAATCAGGGTTGAAATGGTTAGGTCCTGGATTGAGAAAGAAGAGTTTCTTGAGTGGATTGAGCCAGCTGGCGGCGTTGTGTGTTTCCCTCGGATCAAAAAGGAACCTATTGGCGGCATAGATGCTTTCTACAACAGGCTGCTGACAAAATATCACGCCTACGTTGGCCCTGGGCATTGGTTCGAAATGCCTGACACCTTTTTCCGCCTAGGCTTTGGTTGGCCAACCAGAGAGGAACTTCTCGGGGGTATGGAAGCTATTTCCAAGGCGTTGAGGGATGGTGGTGCTTGATTTTTCTGCGCTTTCAATAGGAAAAGTGTAATTACTTGTTGGACTTTCACCTGGCCAAATTGATTATTTTAGTCTTGTTCGCAAAGGATCGAAGTTAGAGACTCAATATATATCTTTGTCTTGTAATAATATGTATGCTGATTTATGGGTTCTTCAAAAGAAAAACCAAAGAATGGAATCTTTTCAGGAAAAAGAAAAGTGAAAGTGCAAGTGCGCCCTATTTTGCAAAGTTTTACTTCAAGGAAGGCGATTAGCACTCGACCTTGGACCCAGTTCCCACCTTTCAAGACATAAACCTCACGCACTATATGTTAAGGTACATTTTTTGATATTACCAACGTCGAGAATTCAACTCGCTTCTAAATCAAATGCTTTATCTACAATGAAAAGAGGTCTATTGCCTAGTCTTCAGCTTCGGCATTCACCTGTCTGTTTTGATTCCCGGGACGCTCTCAACCGTTTCTTAGCAAAAAGTATACGTCTATTTGACTAGTCCTTTATGCGTGAGGCTTTTCATAGGTGAGGCATTAGCACCTTGAACGTCGCGCATTAACCACCAACACCGGTTCCTTGAAGGAAAAGAAAGTAGGTGCTCTGGGCCCGGATTTCCGCCTGAACCCCAGTCTTGTGGGAAGGTAGAGAAGGTCGCACACAAATGCAATACAACGCGTACCAGGCGGGTAAAATAGTTGAGGGCCTCTCATCGGTCATGGGACGGAATGGAACGTATGGATTGCGCTTCCAGTAATTTGAGAAGAGGAAGACTGGAAATTGATGATGATGTTTTAAGAATAATCCGATCGTCAATACGTGGCACTGGGAGAGAGCCCGATCGTGCTGTGCTGGTTCCATGTAGGCCTAGTGTAGATAGTGAGAAGATCGGCAATGATGCTGCTGAATTTGGGTGGCATTGTAGGTGAGAGTCAATGTGAAATTAGGTATCTTACGTTCTATTGTTTTCTGGAAGTGGTGAATCCTTTTCATCATCCCCAAACCTTCTTCCCACCAAACCAAGTCTCTTTAACAGTAGCACTTAGGAGAGCGTTTGCATCCCAGGCCATATCCACAACGATGAAGTCCGCCAGCTTCCCAGGAACCAATGTGCCCACTCTGTCTTCTGCAAAAACGCTCCGGGCAGCTCCATTGGATGCAGCAATGATGGACTCGCACATACCGAGACGGAAATGTTTGTTCACAGCCTTGGAATATTGTGGATCCCTCGATGAATGGCGCGTAGTTGCAACGTAGAGGTTTTCCATGGGAGCCCATGGAGATGTGGGGCTGTCACTTCCGATGGCCATAAGAGCACCTGCATCTGCAAATTCGCGATAAGCAAATGCGCGTTGGCAGCGCTTCTCTCCTAGCAGCGACGGCCATCGTGTGAGAATGGAAGGGTCTGCATGTACAGGCTGGATTGATGCTGTCAAACGTAAGGCACCGAGGCGTTTGGCATCCTCTGGTGACGCTAGCTCTAGATGCTCAATTCGATGTCTTCTTCCGGGCGTGGTATTTTTCTCAATTGCAGTAACAGCCATCCTGATAGCCTCATCGCCTATAGCATGAAGAGCAATTTGCAAGCGGCTGGCGTCAGCTTCTTGAATAACCGGGACCAGATACTCGAGGCTCCAAATTGGTGGAGGGGACCCTAACGCAACGTATGGCTTTGAGAGGTAGGCTGTGCAGGCATCAATAATCCCGTCACAGATAATCTTTACACCGACGATGCGGAGATCAGGGCTTTTTGTGGAGTTGTAGCGTTTGGACAATTCAATGGCTCGTTGGACTTGCTTAGAGTTTTCGTCGATGCTTGCCGCGGGCTTTATCAGCCAGTATGCCGCAACCCGGATCGGGAGGCTAGGCTCCTCTTCACGAAGAGTGACCAGCGCATCCCATGCCTCCTCATCCATTGCCATCTCTACCAGCCCTGTATAACCAGCAGCAGTGTATTCCTGTATAGCTGCGCGGATGGCTTTCATTCGCTCTTCCTTGGGGCTTGACATAGCCTGATAGGGCCAGATAATGGACATCATGGCACCTTCATCAAGAAGGCCAGAAGGTTTTCCGTCTGCATCGCGGTAGATTTTGCCGCCCGCTGGATCCGGCATGCTAGCAACATTAAGCCTGTTCAAAGCGGCAGTGCTGCACCAACATGAGTGTTGAGAGCTATTGTCGATGAATATGGGCCGCGGATCAATGTCATCTAACATAGCCGCTGTTACCCCGTCTGGTGTCATAGAGTGGAACCAATTTTTGCAAAGGATGGTGGAAACATCATGGTTTGCCACTGCATATGTCCGTATAGTCGATCGTATATCCTCCAAAGACTTGCAGTGTTTCAGGTCGAGTTTGCAGAGGGATTGACCCAGGAGTAGGAGGTGCATGTGCCCGTCAATGAAGCCTGGTAAGACGATTCTCTGCCGCAGATCGTGATGCTCCAGTTCAGAAGGCAGCTTCAGAGATATCATCTCGCAGTATGATCCAATTCCGGTGATTTTACCACCTTGAACCAGCATGCTGTCTGCAAAAACCGGCTCTTCAAGAAGGCCTGCATGTTCATTAGTCAAAATACGGCCATTGAAGAAAAGATAAGGTGCTGTCCTCTTGCGGGACAGAATTCTTTGAGCTCTGTATCAAAGGATAAAGTAGGTTGCGGTGTGTCGAGGGAAGGAGAATGGAAATTATTATAAATGTCTTGGTACTTCACCGAGTTTACAATTCTTCAAAATCTCCCCTTCATGTTGTTCACATCGCATTCTACTAAAACTCCTCAGTGGAGTTCGGCTCGACCTTCCCTCCGAGACATATTCTTTCGGATAGTTCTTAATCCCCAAAATAAATTCTCTATCTTCGACTTGCACCTCCACTTCACCGTCCCGGTACTTGTCATTTCTGGATTCTGATCACCTTTCGTCCCATTGAATACGGAGTTGTGGGACAAGGTCCACTAGCACTCTACACTCATTTCAAGATTCAGGTGAGGTCGTGCTGAGTAGTTAAACACGGTGACTGACTAATTGAGCGACATTTGTTAACTGTCAGTCGCCTTGACTGAATTATTCCTGGTCGCAGCAGTATTTATTTGACATGGTTCCGCCAGGTCGTCTGTGAAGAAATTTGACGCGAATTATGATGTTCTCCTGAGACAATATTAACTCACTGTGGACTGGCGATGATCATAAATTCATCCACCCAGGGTATAGTGTAAAACACCCATTTGCTATTCTGATTGCTACTCTCAATATATCAGAATCGGCAAGTCCATCCTAGGCACGTGGGAAGTGGACAACCCTGGACTCCGATATGGAGTATTTCAATGGTCCCGCATTGCATTGGTATTAAACGTCGTACGTGGCTATAGGATGAGTGGCTAGAATACAAGGGACCAAATGAATTCGGTCAAGCCTTCTCTAACCGTCATATCTACACGCCAATTAGGAGCAGAAAGGGCTGTGAGTCTGTAAAAAAAGCCGACCAAGGAGGTTCTATTGGCAAGGCGCTTTTTCAGTATGCCATAACAAGGGGGTCATATTTCTTGGGGTGGCACACATCCGCTGGTCAACGTGCCAGTATAACTAACTACCTCGGACACCACAGCCTCTAACCCTGTGCTCTGCGGAATGCGAGTGTGGTGAACCTGCGATACATGGTGGCTTAGGCACCGTATCCAGGTAAATTTTGTGTTTCCTGTCTTCTGGATATTATCCAGGGAAGAGCCCTCGTAGCAGAGATGTCGGGTCCGTCATAGAAAGCATAAATCATGATTGTATTAAGGAATAGCGGGGTCCAGAGAGACAAGCGAGACGAAGGGAGGCGAAGCCAACCTTTTGCTCTAGTACGCAAAGAATGGGGGGATTCAATGACTTTAGTGTGTTCGTAGCAGAGCAGTCCGCTTTATATGGTCCCTCTGCGCCCCAGGAAAGGTACAATACAATAGTGATCTGCAACTTCTTTGGGGAGGGCCTGGGGCAAATAATCACACACACACAGAGTACTAAGTACAGTAGCTACTAATCTCCGCCTCTAGTCGCCAAGACTGTAATGCCCCACATATGGGTCAACGGGAATGGGATAAGATGATGATGACGATTTCCTAAAAGACTGGTATTTGGGAGAGGAGGCTCGTGTAGGGATCGCTCCGACCGATAAGGTATTACAGCATGACGCGAGACGGTTGCTCTTTGACTTGGACGATCCGCGGAACCTAACAATTGCAGGCCAAACAGAATGGCTGGCAGCCTTTCCTGAGAATAGTACCTTCGGCATCTCGATTTTACCCCGGTCATATTACAGGAATGAACATGCCCGTAATTTTTCGTTCCAATGATGAAACAAAATGGCACGCTTTTATTCTGGTGTTGTGCAAAACCCTCCCGAAGTAAGTCTCGCCATGTTAGTACTACCCACCGCCCCATGCCCACCTGCGCCCGACAAATGACTGTGGTTCACCGGGCATTGTAAGCAATTCGACCCGGAACCCATTTCGCCGGCGGCCAACTGAACTATACACCGACGAAATGTTACCACATCGGGGATGCCAGAGGAACAACGGGCTCTAATTGGACGTTAAGCGTAAACCCAGCGTCGGCCTGCTCTAAGTAGCCGAGGTTCTCTCCCCTCCCGTAAAGCATATAATCCTCGAATAAGCCATTTTCTGAGGGTCAATAGGTTGACATCGCGTCCCTTTCCCTCCGCACAAGACCTGCGAGAAGCAAACGAGCATAGGAATGGCGGTGTATGATCACGTTTCAAACCCACGGCGACTCAGTCAGGCTGCGGAGGCTGATGCGGCTGTCGGTGTTCAGAATCTTTCAAACTGGAATCATGCAATTGATGAGATCAGCACTTGGCCCGAGTATACTCCTCAACCGCTTCATTCAATGCCAAAAGCTGCAGTGCAGCTACGGCTCGGCAATTTATTTCTGAAAGATGAGAGCGAGCGATTCGGCAGAGAGTTGGGGTCCTTCAAAGCTCTTGGTGCGCCTTACGCCGTCTTCAGAATCTTGACCGACGAGGTACAGGCTAAGACTGGTGTCTGGCCTACATCAGCTGATCTCCGAGCTGGCAAATATCGAGCCATCACACATCGTGTTACTGTATGTGTTGCCACAGACGGCAACCAGGGAAGAGGCCTTGCCTATGGAGCCAAGATATTCGGCTGTCGATGCATCGACTACATTCATAGCCACGTCAGCGCGGGTCGAGCAGAGGCCATGAAAGACTTAGGTGCCATCGTTATTCGTGTCGAGGGCGAATACGAAGCATCTGTGGAAAGGGCAAGGGAGGACGCACGGATGAACGGATGGCACTTCGTCAGCAGCACTTCGTGGAATGATTTTGACAGCCCGATCCCACAGAATGTTATGAATGCATACATGGTGGTTGTGGAGGAGACGATGAGTATGCTGCCCAGAGTCGCAGAAATCACGCACGTCTTCGTCTGCGGTGGCGTGGGTAGTATCGCTGCTATGGTATTTCTTGGATTTATGATGCATCATCAGAAGCTAGGGACTGCTAGAGATGAGCTTCCTCGTTTTGTGGTCATAGAACCACAAGAGGCTGACGGCCTTCTCCAGAGTGCCCGTCAAGGGGTTCCTACCCCGTCCGATGGAAGTCTTCGGACGCTCATGGCGGGCCTGGCTTGCCGTGCTCCTTCCCCAGCAGCTTGGAAAGTTCTCTCGTGGCTTGCCAGTGACTTCGTTTCTGTGCCTGACACGGTTGCGGTGGAGGGAATGAAAATGCTTGCTAGTGCGCCGTACGGTGATGTACCAGTAGTTAGTGGCGAATCCTCTGCTGCTAACATGGGAATCTTATTGCAAGCCGCCTCTGACAACACTTTGCGCGAGTTGCTCGGTCTGAACAATAAAAGCCAGGTGCTCTTTTTTAGCCTGGAAGGGGCAACAGATCCGGAAATATTTGAGAAACTCGTTGGGAAGTCTCCCGACGCTGTATTCGCAGCTAGATAATCCTTATTTATTCAGCACAGCAGAGATACATTCCACTTCAAGGCAGTTAAATACCACGTTACGCTCGACGATCCTGAACAATGTACGGCTGCCTCCGCTCTGTCAAATTCTAGTAATCGAATCTTCTGTAAACGAAGGCTTGTCATCCAACGTTAATTGGTATTCTTTCCCAGCACCAGATACTTAATAGGTCTTAGGGCTTGCGTCCCTTTCACAATGTTCGAGGTTGAATTGAATTCTGAGATTTGCATTGACAAATCGATAGATCAATCAATCAATCAATCAGTCAATCAATCAAGATACTATTAACCTGTTGGAGCCCGTCTATAGCTCTTCACCAATGAAGCAGGAATTTAGTATCCAAACATCTGAATCCTATAAAACCTAAAAGAATGCAGAAAAGACAAAAGCAAGGGCGTATAGCTACATCGAAAGCAATTACACTTCTGAGAAGGTGTTCCAGCCAAGGTCGCTGCATTCGGCATCTCCGAGTTTAAGGCGTGGATGTAACAAATCATGGCGACAAATACGGCGACTGGTTCGGCGACAGGTTCGGCAACCACAGAAGCCGAACCAGCAGATGACGAACCGATGATACGTCATCAGCTTGGCACCGTCCATACCATATAAACGTGGAGTTGTCTACACCAATCATGCGTTCTTCACCATTCTATACCCATAATTCATCTCTAAACTAAGATGGCGCCTTCCGTTGACCACAACTTTCACGACGGCTACTTTGACCTGGGATCGTTCAGTCGTCCCGTTACCACCAAACACAAGGAGACGCAGCGCTGGTTCGATCGTGGTCTAACTTGGGCTTACTCCTTCAACCACAAGGAAGCTGCTAAGTGTTTCGAGACTGCCATTTCATATGATCCTGAGTGCGCAATCGCCTACTGGGGCCTGGCATTTGCCTCTGGGCCGAACTACAACAAGGCCTGGGAGCTCTTTGACAAGCAGGACTTGATTGCATCTGTGCACAAGACGTACGATGCTTCCCGCCGAGCTATGGAGCTTATCAATAATGCTTCGCCGTTTGAGCGCGCTCTGATCGAAGCGACACAGCCTCGATATGAACGCGAACACGATGTCGATTGGGACCGATACAGGGCCCGGAACACTGCCTACGCCGACGCCATGAAAGTCTTCTACGAGAAGTACCCTGATGACTTGGATGCGTGCACGCTCTACGCGGATGCGATGATGAACTTGACTCCATGGAAGCTCTGGGATCTGCACACTGGCGAGCCAGGCAAGGGAACAAGGACGTTCGAGATCCAAGCTGTCCTTGAGCACGGATTAAACCTCAAGGGCGCCCGCAACCACCCTGGTATTCTCCACATGTACATCCATTGCATTGAGATGAGCCCTTTCCCCGAAAAAGGGCTAAATGCAGCGGATCACCTGCGGAACTTGGTGCCAGACGGCGGACACATGCACCACATGCCCTCGCACTTGGATGTGTTGGTTGGCGACTATCGCCGCGCAATGGCAGCCAACTATAATGCCACGATCGCAGACGAGAAATTCGTCGCCAAGAATGGTGCTATGAATTTCTACACCTTTTACCGCATGCACAACTACCATTCTTTAATATACAGCGCTATGCATGCCGGAAAGAAAGTCACTGCCTTCGAAACCCTTGACCGCATGGAGGGCACTCTTCCGATCGAGTATCTCCGGGTCGAATCACCCCCAATGGCCGACTGGCTTGAGGCCTTCTTCGCGGTTCGTGCCCACGTTATGATCCGCTTTGGTATGTGGGGCGATATCCTCTCCATGCCATTGCCGGAGGACCAGGAGCTCTTCTGCGTGACCACGGCTACCCTGCACTATGCGAAGGGAGTTGCTGCAGCTGCCACGGGCAACATCCCCGTGGCCGAGGAGCACCGCCGTTTGTTCCAGACTGCGTACAAGCGCGTCCCACTGTCGCGCAAGGACTATCCCAACCGTTGTGTTGATATCCTCGGCGTCGCAGAAGCGATGCTGGACGGCGAGCTCAACTACCGGAAAGGGAACTATGAGTTGGCGTTCGAGCAGCTGCGCGAGGCCATTCATCGCGATGACAACCTAGTCTACTCTGAACCCTGGGGCTGGATGCAGCCTGTTCGCCACGCGTACGCTGCTCTCCTTTTGGAACAGGATAGGGTTGAGGAGGCGGCAGAGATTTACTGTGATGACCTGGGACTGAACGGCACTTTGGCGCGGGCGCATCAGCACCCGAACAACGTCTGGGCGCTTAAGGGATACCATGAATGTTTGCAGCGGTTAGGCCGCGATAAGGAGGCCAAGCTACTTGAGCTGTCGCTGAAGACTGCTCTTGCGGTTGCAGATATCAAGGTCGAATATTCTTGCTTCTGTCGGGCTACCACTCCTAATAAAGCAGAGACGTGTTGCAGGTGAGTGGTGGATGATTGCTCCTGACATTGTCACTTATAAACAAACCCTTCATAAATCTGCTTTAAAGCTACCTTGAACCGCAAAAACGGTATTTGTAAGCGCCTAGTCTGTTGCATCATTAATCAGTAGCCGTCTTCAGCCAACAGTAAAACCTCGTTATAACGAGCGCAAACCCTTCGTCTTAATTAGTTCAGCCTCAGAGAGAAATACCGAGAAGTCATCGGAGGATATTTTGCCACTTCCCCGTGCCAAAGGGCCTTGGTAGGTGGCCATGATTTATTACCGGTGTTTGGTCGTCCAGCTCGGCTTTTGGCCCGAGCTGCAGCCCTAAGCAAGAGATTTCTAGTTCCACTGTCAGATACTGCCCCTAGTCATGCAATTCTGTATCCTACTCTATCCGGAAATGCTGCTGTTGGGGAATATACAGAAGCTGTATAAGTTTAATTACATACGACCTGAACTCAACTTGGAAAAAAAAAAGGCTCGTGTCCGGGAGATAATCGGGCTGTCAATGTTCAACAAAATGCGGCAGGTCTGGAACGCGTCTGCTTCTCCACCGACCTCGGAGACGTTTACAGTGCAGATCTGATCATACATATGAGCTCGTTAAGCTCAGTGGGTCCACGTAGGGCGTGCGCGATGCTCTTAGTGTTTGCCGCCAGGGCGTGCATCCAGGGCGTGCCATCCTCCACTTGAGTAAGTCACGTCTGTAGTAATATAGCCATTGCTTTTGTGGGCCTGGTACGAAGAGGTCTTTTGTTATCGGTAATTCAATTTTAACACCTCAGTCTTAGTCAGGCGAAGAGCTACAGGCTACTTCATCGAGGAACAAAGCGTGAAGCAGCTACCAGCAGCGATAGTGCACATTCCATACCCTTTCTATTTGTGAACAGTATCATCTGGCTGCAATAAGCAGGGTGCAATAGTCGCACATGAAAATGGGGTCTCAGAGGCGGAGTTTCCCTCAAGGGGTGCGCCTTCTCCAAGGAAACCCGTGGAACTCTTCAAGGTATTTTGAAATCTTCCAATCCATAAGCTTAATTCTTCAGATGCTGACAAGGTGTATTCATAGCTAAGAAAAAACCACATTGTCCTGGCAGGGACGATATTCGCCTTCAACGGCTCCCTCGGTGCTTCACTTCCCTCTGGAGCTTCATTCACCATTGCACAAGACCTTCAAGTGTCTCAGAACGACACTCAAATCGTGTTATTAAACTCCCTCTACCTCGTGGGTTTTGTGGTCGGTCCGCTGTTCTTTGGACCATTGAGCGAGAGTGTCGGTCGCCGACCAGTCCTTGTTGGAACATATCTTGCATACGCATCCTTCACCCTTGCTTGTGCATTATCACCCACATTCGAGTCTTTGCTGGTTTTCAGATTCTTCTGCGGAGTGAATGGGTCGGCCCCAAATGCGATTCTAGGCGGTCTGTATAGCGACATTTATAATGAACCCGACGGGCGTGGCAGAGAAATGGCTATTTTCATGTTCACGGCGATCGCCGGCCCGATGATAGGGCCTTTAATCTCAGGGTTTACCGTTCTACTCTCATGGCGCTGGGTATTTTGGGTTGCTTTAATTGTTGTCGGAGCAGGATTTCCCTTTATATTATTCCTTCCAGAGACATATTTGCCCGTTCTTGAAAAGGAAAGGCTCATAAACCCCCAAATGAGCGGCGGCGCATCTCGCAGTGCAAAAGCACAATTTCCGGGGCGGAGAATATTTATTCGACCATTCTCTATGCTATTGAAGGAACCTATCGTTTCACTCACATCTTTGTACCTCTCAGTTGTCTATGGAATACTCTTCTTGTTCTTCCAAGCTTACCCCCTTGTTTTCAAAGGTAGGTGGCATTTCGTGCTCATTCGGAACTCTGATTTCGTGCGCTGATGGACAAAGGGTTATATGGACTGTCCAACAGTGTCAATGGCCTGGCCTTTATCCCCAGTGCGTCGCCCCCGACTCAATTCAACGGCAAAATGCTTACAAAGCAACAGTGATTCTTGGGGCCTTCCTTGGCCTATGCCTTGTGCTGGTATATGCCTCATACCATAGGAAGGCTCTAGCAGAAGACCAGTCCTGGGCTTCGGTAGAGGAATATCGCCGACTTCCACTTGCCTGTGTCGGTGCACCCTCGTATGTATAGGAACCCAGTCATTTGCCCAGCACGTTGCTTATCCATGATTCGATGAACACAGGATCGTGGTCGCGCTTTTCTGGCTTGGCTGGACCTCTGATAGGTCTATACACCCAGTTTTACCGATGATGGCGGGCGTATTTTTCGGTTTCGGCTATCTGCTCGTTTTTACTGCGATGCTGAACTATCTAACGGATGCGTATAAAGAGGCCTCAGCGTCTGCACAGGCAGCTGCTAGTGCTACAAGAGCCATAATGGCCGTCGTTCTGCCATTCGCGACAACCCCTATGTATACCACGTTAGGTATTAGCTGGGCTAGCTCACTGCTGGGATTCTTGGCCATGGCACTGGCTTGTATACCGTTTGCTTTCATCAAGTATGGGAGGTTGATTAGGCAGAAAAGTGATATTCCTGTAGAACCTTATGAGTAGGCCCGCTTAAAGGTGCATACCAGCTTGACGTGAAATTGATGTACAATGTATAAAACCTGAAACTTGAACTACCTGTTCACAAGAGATTGCCCCGGAGTCTGAAAAGCGCCATTGCTACTATGCTCACCCCGGAACTTAGCCAACCACTCCACATTATCAGCCAACGTTTGGTTCCACTGGTCCTCAGAATCAAACAACAGGCGTCTTGCTTCTAACTGAAACATTTCGTCGGTAGGGATGATACCGTTGATCATCATTCGTTGTGCATAATGGCTTAAGTGACGGGTGAGCACCTCGGTGTAACTATCCAATTGAGTTTCTTGAACCGGTTGCAGGCCCGTCTGCGGAGATTCCGGAAGCATTTGACGCTCGCCTGCTGCATCCAAAAATGTGGCTCGCGACAGCATTTGAGAAAGATGATCATTCACAGCCCCATTGGTGGCCGAGAATGGGACAAAAGTTCGCGATTCAAAGTCGATCAGATATGGTGGTACGCTATGTGTGACCTGTGCCGCGATCTCCGGCGGGAAATCATGGTCGCCTTTCCATTGGGCCATAGTGCAGCCCTTGCGAAAGTGAGACGCCAGGTGATCGGCTCGCTCGTCCCAGTTGTGCATCCGACTTTCGCAAAATCCACACCGGGAAGGGAAGTTCGTAACAGTACGTTTCCAATCATCAATTAGAGGAATAGTATCGAGGTGGTGGAAGAGGCGCAGGTGCTGAATAAGGTGATCTTTTCTCCGAAATGTTCGTAATTGTGGCTGACAGAGTCCATGGTTGTGTTTCTGAAGATGCTCTAGAGTTGGATCCAACTGGTTGCAATAGGCACAGTGGGCGCGACCGGTTGATTGCAATACCACGCACCCCCCAAACGGTGCACACGCCCAACTCTCCAGATTGAGATGAAGAGACTTCTCGTGACGCATCCAGTCAAATTTGCTTTTGAACTTATCACAACAGAACGTGCAGCAAAATATGCGAGGGTTGCTGGCTGAACTTCGCTTCTTTGTCCTTAATCCTGTCTGCTTCTTCCGAGCCTTTGCAGATGCCTGGTCCGAAGCGGCTTGGCTGCTCTTAGACAAAGTAGACAACCGGGATCTGTTGGAACGCTGAGAGGATGCACTAAGGGCACTTCCTCCACTAGTTGACGAAGGTGCCTGGGATGTTGGACGATAATTTTGGAATATGTCGCCAGACCTAAAACCAGGGGTACCACGCCCCTGAGATTCGTCGCAAGAGAGTGGTTGGTTTTGTAGCGCGTTCTTAATGGCCGATAAACTGGCAGCCTCAGCTTCAGGGGGTGATTCCTTCCAGCGCTCCAAAGGATCCGCAGGCCTCCCATTAGGTATGAAAACAACATTTGTCTCTTGGTTGATCTCCTGTATCAAATACTTGCTTTTTCGCCGAGGAAGTTGACCTCGGAACGAATTTTCCAATAAGGGTGGCGTTGATATTGATTCTCTGTTGTCGATAGCTTCACATGGCGCACTTGTGGTATACCAGGATGAATAGCCAGAGTGTATTTGAGTGACTTGGCTAGGCCGATGTGCAGGCAAAGATTCGGAATTTTCCTGGTCCCTCCAACCAAAGCCATCAAGGCCTTCGGGGCTGAAGCCGTCATAGGTTGCGGTAAAGGAGTCCGTGATCTCGTTCGGTGGCTCTTCATGTGTGGCACTCCCAAAGGGCAATATGGCAGCATTGAAGTCAAAATCATTGACGGAACCGTAGTCTGCATCGGTCTCCCCAAAAGCCTGCGGACTCGTGGTGTTAAGCAGCATGGGCGTACATGAGAAGTCAGGGGAGCCAGGGTAATCAAGTAAAACGGCAGATTGAGGTAGCTCTCTGTCCCCTGTAAAATCTAAGGGTAGATTAGTGTTTTGATCCCCGAATTTTGAAGCACGCAAAACTTATACAATCTGAATCACGGCGGCACGAAGCAGCCATTTCCGATAGCCTTCTGCTTTCCTTTGCCACAGTAGTGATGGAAAGCCGGATGCTTGGACAAATGGTATTTGCACCAAATTAGGTATCGCTCAATATCCGAACTCAGTAGTGAAGGGGAGGACCTGATAGCGGCAAAGAAAAAAGTTGGGCGTGGATAATGGATGAATCCTCATCTGGCGGGGTTGGGGAGGGGGGGAGAGTGGCGAGCGGGCGTGGGCGGTGTCTGCTCCGAAGCGGGCCGCGCCGCTTGGGGAAGTCGTTGCCCCCAAGATGTGTAGATTCTACAGTTTCTACCTAATGCCAGAGAATGAAGTTCCACGCCTCAAACCAGCTATGTTTTAGATCTTATTCCATTCACAAATCCCAAAAGCTATTTTCTGCAGTAAATAATGGCTACTCCTTCAGCTCCTTCTCGGGCACCTCTCTTGCCCATTCATGCTCCACGCGCCCATACATAATATCGCCCAGCCATCCCTTCAGTTTTCCCGTGATTTCTGCTGGTGTGCCACTCGGACCGGTTGGAACGTTGATGTCTCTTCCGCGGTGATGAATCATAGAGACTGGAGTAATGAACCACTGCAAAAATCATTAGTCTCTAACTTCATTCATAGGCTGAGAAGAGGACCATGACTTACAGCTGTACCAGCGGCGAACGACTCCAATAGTCGGCTCTCCGCCGCTGCCTCCTGGATTTCACTTATGGTGAACTTCCGCTCCGTGACGTCGAGCTCATTCATTAGTCGCTCCCTCGCCAAATCGAGGCAACTTCGGCGAGTTACTCCATCCAGGATCAGCTGGTCGTCCAACGGTGCAGTGATAAGCTCCTTTTTGCCATCTTTGCGTTTCCAGACAACAAAGAAGTTGCTTCCGCCTGCCTCGGTGCAATAACCTTCGGGACCATACAACCATAGTATCTGGTGATAACCCTGGCGATAGGCTTCCTGGGTGGCCAGTACCGAAGGTCCATAGTTCGCACCAACCTTAGCATATCCGAATCCGCCTACCCATGAGCGTACCATATCGTCCGGGCTCGTCAGTAGGCGTTTTCCGCCAGTCGGTGTATCCATGCGAGCCATATAGCCGACAATGATATACAGTAAAGCCTCCGTTGGTTTTGCAACCCCAAGCTGGGAATCTGTGCCAATAATGGTCGGGCGAACGTATAAAAAGTCTCCAGCGCGACTCTTAGGGAGCCATTTAGGACCATCCACCGAGAGCAACGCGTATATAAGCTTTTCCAATTCGTCTGGGTCGAATTTAGGAAGAGAAATCCGCTCGGCAGACATCAGAAGTCGGCGACAATTGCGGTCGGTCCGGAACATTCGGAGTTTGCCGTCGTGGCCACGGTAGGCTTTGAGTCCTTCGAAACATTCGTACGCGTAGTGAAGGCAGGATGCACTTGGAAGTATGCTGAATGGGCCGTAGGGCTTCAACTCTGGGACGGACCAGCCGCACGTGGCACTCCAAGACGCAACAATCATGTGGTCTGTACAGATTGTCTCGTGGGTGCCTCCAAGGGTTTTGGCATCTGGTACATTTCGTGGAGTGGTGGTGTAGGTATATCTCAACTGAGACACGTCGAGCGGTTGTACATAATCCATATGGGAACCCATATTGCGAAGACCGATCTATGACAGTGAAATCACTGACAATCCATGCTGCTTGTTCTCCCGAATATTTGTATGCAAATTTCCAGCGCAGCTAAATTTTTCGCAGGTCGTGAAGAGTGGTCCTGCGCCGGAGGCACGCCCTGTGGGGACCAGATTAAGTTGACACGCCCTGTAGGGTGGGCCCGGATAATCACGCCCTGTAGGGTGGGTCGGGTAATCGGTGGAAACGATAAATATCCATTCCTCCTTTTCATCGCTTTTCATACCCAGCCTAGACCGTCCGCCGTCGCCTACTGCGTGCTACGAGTTTCACGTCCAAGTTATTTCAATCCTCCCTATTATTTTTAGCCTATATTCACATGCCATTATCGATGTAGGAGGGTGGTCCTCAAAGTATCGTTTTACTGTATTTCTAATGAAGTTAAATTACCGGCAGAAAATTATGGGGGATAGATACCCATCAAACGCCACTAGGACTCGCATAGACTAGACTTAGAATGTTGCTATAGTACATTTTTGGACTGACGGTACTAATGTCCCATATTGATGCGACATTTCATTGGGGAATTTGGGGTTGCCACACATGATAGTTATCTACACTGACTTTACGGAGGGCTTCTTCCCTCCTACAAGTGTGACAGTCAATTGGTAGCCTCAAAAGGTTAGCTCATGGTCCCTCTGTATATGGAAACTACTGTAATACATTCACATTGCCTTCTACAAGGGAGCGCGGACGGGCCCTATATGATCCGACGGTGTAAGACCATAGCGACAGGTGACCCGTTGCGGCCAAATTATACTCTCCTTGCTCTTCTTGGCTGCGCGAGGTCCTCTCAATAGATTGTAAATTGAGCCCATTTGTTATAGCACGTAGGATAGTTGTATTCTGCAGGTTACAATCGATAAGTGAAAATGCTTGGGGGTTTCCATTGCCGGTATCGGTGAGAGCTAAAAACAGCACATATTCACAGATTACTTCTGGCGAAGGCATGGAAGGGCTTCCAGGAAAAGAAATATGAGAAACACCAGTATTCTATTCAATGACTTACCAGCTTTATGAACGCTAAAATCTCGATTTTATGCAAAAGCTGGATTTCATGGGACTCTATTGATGGCCCATCGTGGGCCTGACGAAGCCTACCTACCACTTCCACACTATCCGGTCTTCAATCTCCTGCCAGACCAGTGGCAGTATCCTTCTGTTTTGTCAGTTTGCGGTTAGATTTCAACGGTCACATTTCAGACACCGAGGTACATGGTAATCCGAAGGGGTCAACGGCGGGATACATCAACGATAAAGACCGCCAAGAATGCAGCTTACCAGACTCGGAGTGCTCTGCTGGGCCGCCTGATTAACGTTCTTCAGGATAGGTTACTAATGTAACACTAATATGTGAAAGCTTCTTTCTTCTTCTTTGCTCTGGAACTGGCCGACAGTTCGGCGGACATATCGACACCTGGATAAGGTTGAAGTACCCTATGTGCTTTCGACATCCTAATCAAAATAACTGGGCGTTTGGGTTGCTCTAGATAATGCATAGCCGTAGCATGAGACTCTGCTGGCGCACACAACTTATTGAGTCCAACTACCTTATAGTACTATCCATCTTCCCTGTGCGTCACAAGAGCGTGTGGTATGCCTTTAAGTACTTACGCGCGCGAGGTATATTCTCAAATAAATATGCGTCGGCTACGAGAACTAACGGCTAAGGTTGTCACATTATGATATCTCCTTCCCGAAGTCCTTCTGGGAGGGCGCCAGAATTCCACGGGAGTTGGCAGCTGGTTCGCGGGGACAATATTTGTAGAAATGTGCATTCGTAAACCACTCTTCCCTGGACATTTTGAGATAATTCAAGCCTTCAAAATTCTCAGGTATGCTCCTAAGCCCAAACCTTGCAAGTAGTAAGTCAACTTTAGACTTATTTAGATGCTTGGGCACCTCTGACGAGATATTCGGCCTGTTGTTACCTCATTTCCCGATTTTAAATTCACATTCCCTAAATGGAACCCAACTGAAATTCGGAACTCGTCTCCGTTTACAAAATCAGCGCGAAAAGCAGTTGAGTAATCCATGGCCAAGTTGTACAACACGAGGTTCTATTCACGGCCTGATCACTGCTAGTATTCGTAGTTGCGGCTGACTATCAAATGTTGATAGTGCTTTTTTCTAGACAAATCTTCCAAGTATCAAAACAGTACTCGACTAATTTTCCTTCCACGATTCTATACAGTCAACCGTTTTAGATAGCAGTCTTTTCTTTCTCCGCTTTCTCAATAGCCGTATCTTGATCCCCAAATGCCTTCCTAACCGAAGGACGCTCGCTCAACCGTTTGAACCATGCTGCCGCGTGAGGAAATTCTTCATCCAGGGTCTCGGGGTCGGTAGCATAGCGCTTCGCCCACCGCTGCCAGGGCATGAACGACAGATCAGCATATGTGCACTTATCACCCACCAACCATTCACGGTTTCTCAACACATTGTTCAAAACGGAGGTCACACGCCGAATCTCATTCCCATAACGCTCAATGGCGAGCGGAATTCGCTCGGGCGCGAAACGAGCAAACCACCCTGCCTGGCCATAGTACGGGCCTTGGCCAGACATTTGGAAATGGAGCCATGCTCTGGCTTCATATTTGCGATGGAGGTCAATGTACTGAATTGCGTTCTCAGGGTCGTAGTTATCAACGAGGTATTCGACTATGGCGCCAGATTCAAATAAAGTGATGGCATTGTTCGGGTCCTCGATTGCGGGGAGGCGACCGTTGGGGTTCAAATTGATGTATGGTTCTTGCTTGACCTCGGTGAAGTTAACAAAACGGGTTTCATAAGGGAGGCCCAGCTCCTCCATGATGATAGCCACTTTCCAAGGATTTGGCCCATAAGGATGGGAATATAGGACGACAGGAAGCATTGTGATGACGGCTGATCGGAAACAAAAATAGAAGTTGGATTTCGTTGCGGTGTAAGCTCTCATTATATATATCTTCCTAATTAACCCAACAACACGGTGTTTGGTGGGACTTTCGGCGTTTGATGCTGAGAGGAGTTTAATAGCCTGCTGCCAGTGGAACGGCACGCCGATGTTTCGTGAGCCTAGAATGTGGAGCTCTCATTTCGTGTTTCCCATCAGGATAAACATGAAGAACTGGGGATGGATATTGCGTAAACAGCCAGACCAAGCCACGTTGTAATATGATTACGCACCCTGGTTACCCGTCAGTCAGGTCCAGCCCTCATAATAAGGCAAACAATAACTTCTACGATTCTGCTAGTGATACCGAGACACCGAGATACAGAAACGCCGAGACGCTCCTGCCGAGATAAGAAATGATCACTATTTGCGTTGTCGACAGTCACCTTCGTGGATTGGTATCAGGTTTGGGATAACACTACAATTGCCGATATAGCGATGTCTCCCAATGGTTGATCCAGACGCCGAATTCCAATGATGAGAAATGACGAAAGCCGATTGGCTGCAATATGTAACTAGCTTCATATCCCCACATCAGACACCGCGCCTCAGCCAGATCATGTTTATCCATGGTTAATTCTGGAACGGGAGTGGCTATTGTAGCGGCGGAGAACGCTTTAGACTGTAGCATTTGTAGATTAGGACGAAAACCCAATAATTGACTGGAGAGAAGGTGCACGGAATCAATTTCTTAAGGAGTCGCGATTTGTTAATTGGCAAATTTAGGGATATGGCACATTTGCCTTTCACCTCAAGTCAAGAAAGGTGACATGGCCTCAAGTTGCATATAATTTCAGAGCTTCATGCTAGACCAGGGGCGTATGCGATGTCCCCAGCACAAAATATCTTCGGGACAGGAATCAAGCATGCGCTGATAACACCCAAAATGGTAGTTCCCTAGGCCACACCTAGCTCATGAATCATCTGGCTGGCAAAAAGTGGAAATATCGCCCCAAAAATAACGATATAGCAGAACCTCTGAATAAGAAGAAAATACATCACACACCCAATCAGGGAACTTGCGCATACAGCGCTGAGCCAGGGATTATTTGGGCGCACTGTCCATGCATACCAAAATCAACCCCAAGGGATAAGTAATGCTCCAAAAATCATGGGAGGCAGCCTGGTTTCAGGGCTACAGGACCCGTTTGCTGAAAAGCAGTGGTCCTTGAAATATGGAGTAGAACCTATCGTATACGACAATGCCAATGGGTCCGATGAATACGGGGCCTTTCGTACCCGACTCAAAACCCGTATGGTCACCAGCATAACCGCAAACGCAAAAAGAGGTGATAGGTCACAGGCATCATAAACTGGAATTTGTGCTGTAATTTTCCTCCGCCGTAATACATTCACGGGATTTTGTGCTTTTTGTCAACACATTTCCTCTCATATTTGATCTCCCAGGAAATAAGAAGTGGTTGTAATCATTTAAACCCTAATACACTTCATAACCTTGTAGTCTACTAGAGTAAGCATCAATAATTTAGAGCAGCAGATTTATTGGTGATAAAAGGAAGTTAGCTTGCCTAGGTAGGAGGAAAGAATATAAAATAGAGTGACTGAGAATATTTTTCTTAATTTCTTTGTAAATTCCTTAAACTAGCTATGGGATGATCTTAAGGGAGAATATAGATAATTCCCTTTGGCATATGCCTCTAGGATTTTATATGATCTCAAAGGCTAATGACCTCAATAGACTAATGATCTTAGATCATTATTTTGCGATCGTTATGATCGATGATCATCCATGGTGATCAGATCCATGGTTATAATCGACGATCATCCATGGCGGTCAGATCCATGTTAATCGACAATCACCCATGGCGGTCGGATCCATGGTTCTCACCGACAAGTTTCCCTTCATTTTTCGTGTTTGCGCAACTTTTAACTTTTAACACATCATGAGTTGCCCAGAAATCAGACATAATAGATACAGAATGATAGGCAAGTCAGAAAAGGGGAAAAAAAAGAAAAAAAAATGGCTGTTGCCCTGGTTTGTTTTGTTGACTTTTCTTGCTGGATCCCTTTCTTCGACTTTGTTTTTGGTGCAACGCAGCGTCTGTGATTTCAAGAAATGACACTTGGCAGCAAAAACCTTCCTGGTTGGCTAAGACTAGTGTGCAAAAACAATCGGTTTACCTTCTAACTTTCCTTGCTGAGAGTTATAACTCACGCCATCCACCTTCAACCCTTGCTCATTAAGAAGAGTGATAATGTCACCATCACTTGAGAGAGGGAGATTTGGTACTTCAAAGCTTCTGGTAGCCATGGAGTTCAAAGCTGCATCACCAGGAAGCTCTTGAGCCTGACCAGCTGAGTTATAGAGTTTCCACGATGCCAGGGATACCTTGTGGCTTGTAAAGTTCGCAAGACTGACTGATTTTTGTTTTTTGATAAATGCTTCCTTGATACCCACTGAATTCTCAGTGAGTTCTTTGGGTAGGAATTCACCCCATGTCAATGGCGGTATAGCATGACCGGTTTCGTTGTCAGTGTGCACAGCTTGTGATGCAAAAGCGAGAAAAACCCCAGTCCATTGACCAGTGTCCTTATAATGGATGAGAAGGCCTCCATCCTGGAAAACTCCATCATCGTGACGGAATTTCCCTATGTTGCCCTGGTTCATATGCACATCGTGCATTCCGTTTCTTGTATTGAAACAGGCGCCAAAAATGTAAACTTCTGCCCGTTTCTCAATTGATTGCTTTACTTCAGGCACCAAGACATCAATCATATCATTGTTTGGACCGGGAATGTCATGGGGAAGAACGCGACCACTCTTAGTATCAAACAGGCCAGATCGGATATAGTCTAGCCCTTGGCCATCAAGTTCCTCGAGAGGGTGAAAGCCGAAATCCAGGTTGGCTAGGTTTTGAACCATTTTGTGCTCAGCTGTTTTATAATTCACCCAATAAGCAAGTCGACTGTCCCGATCAATAGATTTGATGTTGATCGCAGCGCGGAAGAGCCCAGGGATTTCCTTCGGCTTGGTTTTATTTGGAGGTTTGTGTTTGTGTTTATGACGATACTTGAGGTCGAATTGTGGCTCCATTTCTTGGTTATCATGGTAGTAGAGCGATAGATGTGGGGACCTTGGGTCATCCAAAGCGCTTTCAACCTCGTAATGAACGGGCACCCCCTTCCAAACACCGTAGTCTTTGACAGGCATTCTTGTCGTGAAAAAGCGACAATGATAAAGGTGATTCAAATCTTAATCGGTCTCAGAGTTTAATCTCATACGAAGACATGTAGGATTCAGGAGAGGAGCTGGATGAACCTTTATAGGTATGACCAGCATTCAGGCAAAGGACTTCACAGACGGTCATCCCTGGACACTTACGTGTCAGCTCTTCTCGAATCCCGTCATCATTACAAACTGTGGGATCTAGAGTGGTCGACTTCACAGTCACACCATATCTTCATGGTTTAGTGCAGCCGAAGTTCTATGGGTTACCTCGGAGGCTCAATATTTGACGTATATGTTCCATTTTTGTCTTAATTGGACTATCCTTCTCGGACCCGGGAATGATCAGTCCACCATTTCAATAGAGCGCAAACCCTAATACAACCAAGAAATGAATTAAGTTTCTATCAAAGTAAGTCAATTAAGCTGCTGCTTGATGGATAACAGAGCCGAAACCGTTCCAGAACTCTCAATTGCCCAGACCAAGTGTCATGTGGGAATTAGACAGTCTAAGTGTAAAGCCGTGAAATTAAATAAACTGAAAGCTTGACGAGCTTTGATTCGGCATTCAATCTAGACGTCAAGGATTCCAGTTCCCGTCCACAAGTAGCATTAGCCACTAGCGGGACCGTGGCGGAGCACGGCTGCAATGCATATTCGTGCCATATATACCCTCACCGCAAACCTCTGAAAGGTCTTATAGAAGCTGCCATGAGAAAAACCACGATATCAATACATTAAGGTAGGTATAGAAATTCAGCTGATCTATTAAGGTCCGCTCACTCAGCCGTTTGGAATTGGCTTGGCCGGTACAAAGCAGAGTTCTCCTCATGGCTTTCGTGGGGAGTTCAGTAGGCCCTGGAGCTGTGCAGCTCAGTCACATTGCATATAAAATGGCGCAAATTCCTAAATTTCAGCTTTACACACACCTGGAGCCATAGAAATGCCAAGCCGAAATAAGCAGCCATTAAATCAGAGCTTAACTCCTCAAGTGGGTCTCTCTACAATTACAATGTTTAAACAATGGCGCATGATTACCGCTGCCACTTCGGGTTGGTGGATCAGATAAAGCTACGACCCATGACGTATTCACCTTGGTCATGCAGACATGTTCAGATCTTCTAAAATCTGTATAAATATTTACTAATAATATGGTGCTTACCAGAGAAACTTAGGGTGTAAAGTCATATTATTAAATGTACTGCAAACGGCCAAAGCCCAGACAGCCCCGCTCCAGCGGCGAATTTAGAATATTCGCTTGCTAAGTGCTGGCATAACGGAGACAATCCCTTCTTGTCGCATGGCTGAGTCGAAGAGGTAAGATATAGCTAAGACGCTATGAAAGAAGTTTATTTCCCTTCATCTGAACTTTTTTTTTTTTTTTTTTTTTTTCTACTTTTTTGATGTATCTATCGTGCTAATACCTTTATTCTATTACTGTCGAGTGGCGATGTACCTGAAATTCAGAAACAGTTTAGGAGACGGGTTGTGTAGATTGTCCTAAGTTGCTGTGCGACTGGTATTAATGAGACAGTGTTCTGTGTACCTACTTTCTTCCTCTCTCTCTATGCTTAGTGTTCTCACGAAATGCTACCATGTCGTAATGTCTTGAAAAGCATCTGTCATAAGTATCTCCAGGGATCTGGATGGGAATGCCATTTTAGAAACTTGAAACCCGCACAGCCAACCTTTGTTCAGCTAACTGAAAGTAGAGCTGCAACAGACATTCTAATAATACTCAGATTTCCGGAACCGGTGCATAGCTGATCACATACTGTCACTCCAATGCCCTATTACTCATGTCACGGAACCAGTAGCCCTAAATTGAGTTTATGTTGATGTGTGGAGCGCAATGTTTTAGAATACAGTACATTCCGAAAACGATGACTTGAGAAGTTATATCACCATAGACCTGAACGCTCATGTATCCCTAGCCATCAGTTTCCTTCACAGGACCCTCAACCTTGATTCGAAAGATTATTCATAACTACACCATCTGTGAGGACCCTCCAGTGAATACAAGGCAAGCACAGTCATTCTTATGGAGGAGATAGCAAAGAGATTGTCCTGCGTTGAATTTGTGCCACTGTAGACGGGTGCTTTCCTCAGAGCCTTTGAGAAAATTGTGGCCTACGCCAGCGAGCTCCGTGGCGGTCAAATCCCTGATGTTGAAATTAACGTTACATGACGACTTGCAGGACCTTTTACCTGTAGAGGACTGCTTATTTTGGTAGTTGAGCAACGTCATTGACATCCGTGGCGCTGGGATATATACGTTGAAAGAAAAGCAGGTTTTAGGCATGCACATACAGACTACGATTGGAACCACCACTTCAAGAATTGGCAAGGGTCTTTTGTATACGATTATGAGCTCTGCCTTACAGAGACGGAAACGTAGCGGAAATTGAGGTTTAGTGATGGAATTGTATTTAGTGCTTTTAGTGAAACTGCAAGTTCAAACAGGATGTTAGTTATATTAGTGAAAGCAATTAATCAGGGAGAGCTGGAGCCTATTAGAGATCCAAATACATACTAATATAGGCCATCAAGACTCCTGCTCACATGTAAAGTCTCATCTTTCCATGTCCTTGATGGGTCAAGAGATTCAACGAGTGTGGATAAGGTCACGCATCTCTTATTGTTCAAAAGATTATTCTCATGCTCATCTTCCCCGCGCAACTGAAGTCTAGAACGTAAATGCAGCCCACATCCTGAAACACAAGGTACACTCCAACTATAGTCTATGCCCCGTTTAGGATAGGCGGCGACCACCTGGAGGTAATCTGGGGTGAGCGGGTGATCAGCAGGTGATTAGGGTTAATCAGTTGAGTTTAACTCTATCTCTCTACTGTTTGTGACTGAACTACCAGCAACTCGCGTGCGCCCTAGAGGTATCGAAAGCCACTTGCCCAGGGACATTGGAGATTCCTAGGGGTAGACAGATGATACCCCACGATAGCGAGTGCAACTACAGACAGAATCACTTTGGTTAGACTTTGTTTCTTAAGATTCAGCCTTCTCTCTAACGGGTTATTATCAGTTACGGTCTTCCGCTCATCCTGAACCTTCACCTCACCGCTAAGAATTTCTGTTTCAGGTTAGGTCTATGGTGTAATGCAATAACTGGGCTTCTTAGCACAACTTGATTCATAAGAAGAAGATGAAGGACTATTCTCAGGGCCGAGGCTCACAGGGCAAGGGCAGCCAGCACCTATTCCTTATATTTTATGAACAGGTTTACTCAGCGTTTAACCACGCTAGAAAGAACGGGAGCTACCGTGTACCAACAATATTACGCGCCATTTCAACTCTTCTGACGGTTATTCGTTGGCCATCCTTGCTAGGGCAGAGCAAATAAATTCCAGATAGTACCACATCTGTTGACCGACCTTCCTGGCAGATTTGGAGCTGCTTGGTCAGCCCTTGCCTGGGGTTAGAATATACTATGATGAGTCGTCCCATCGCCTGGTTGTTGGAAAGCGTCGCCAAAGGCATACACTGCCAAGCAGCACCGGCACCTGGACTCATTGCTTTTCCCTTTACATGCAGAATTTGAACAAAAGGCTGAAAGTCGACCAACTTATTAGGCATATATAGACTGAATATGACCTCGAGCCGTCGGATATCAAAAGCTGCCAAAACACTCTTGCAGTGGTCGAGTTATAATGGTTCAAGAATTGCGCTTTAGTAGTAGTTGCCGCTCGGCCGTTTTATTACCGAACAGGATAGCACATGAGCATTCTCAATTACTCCTTGTTCAGACACTCTCAATAGGTGTGATTGACCAATGCTTCCCCGTATGATCCCCATCGCCCAAGAAGAGCTCGTGTGTATCCGCATACGTGTCAAGATGCAGCCCGGGGCCTGAATATGCGTTGCTCAACTTCCACGTGCCATCACCCCAACTCCCGACTGTCCACTCCTGTCCTGAGTAATTCCCGTTTGTTGCTAGGTGAGGTTTGGTTTTAATATCCCCGTACACGTCCAGAACCCTGTTTTCGCCGAGAAACATTGTGTACAGCTTGAAGGTCCCAGACGGCAAGCGAAGGAATCTCCAGTACTGGCCGCTGTAATTTCCAGAAGGTGCCATTTTTAAGAGCCCTTCTCTGTTATCTGAACCATCGTTTTCCACGTCAAGGGCTGTGGAGGTGCCAAGATAGGCGTTTGTGAGTCGGTACCAGGTGTTAGGGTTAGGGGCAAAGGAAGCGGTCATGGTGCTGTGGAAAAGATGAGAGGTTAAATTCGTATGTAGATTCAGCAAACCCCAACATACCTCTTTGCAGTAACAGATGCCACTTAATAACAATAAGATATTACGTTCGAACAAAGCGGTCGTTGGAAGTCGTGGGAAGCTTACCTGTGAGCGACTCGAGGGTCCTTTTAAACCCTTCTGAAAGTGATATTTATCGCTAATTTTTACCCATCTTCTTTTAATCGCGGAAGCGCCCATTCCCGACCAAAGTACGACTTTTCTGCGCTGTCGTACGGTGCGACTAACGTAGCCTAGACCGCAAGTGTCCTAGAAGTCCTACCATAGTGTCACTAGAAGGCTCGGTCAAAGAAGGGCATGGTCACCGACCAAAGATTGTCCTGCCATGATAACTGGCTGGCGGTGCACTCGAACCATAATTTGTATCGCCTAGTCTAGAGCTGCCACAGTGTCTCAGCCAGCCAGATCGCTTTCAGCTGGCAGTGGACGACAAAGTGCCCAGAAGGAGAAACCAGAAGGAGAAACCAGAACAAACACCAAAGAACAACATAATCGCTCCCTGTTGCCGGATTCAGGCTAGTATCCAGTTCTAGGCTCAGTCCTTTGCGAGCAGACAGACAGGGTATCATTTCCCGCCAGTCACAGTGTGGGCTTTGCCGCCTTGTGTATTGACGGATGAAAGTGGCCGGTGTTGCTGTACAGCCCCCCGACACATGGTGTCAGCCAGTCAGCTACCGGCAACAGATCGTGGAATCAGCCAGACACAAGATCAGGAAGGACCAGAAATCAAAAACCACTGAAGGAGTGACAGGGCACGCCACATATTGCTACGTTTGAAACGATATCCCTCCATTTCCCGGTCGTGTCCAAGAGACCATTATTTTGCTCGCGGCACTCTGAGTTACTCAAGGCGACGACTGGAGCTGCAGTTGTCCATTGCTGATGTGGGCGGGGGTGGCGGGGTGGTTGTCACACCCCAGCAGCAACTCCGACAAAGGAATTATCTGGTCCACACAATCAAGCTTCACGCCCTTCTGGTTTACATTGACGAGCGTCCATGTAAGGTGAAGTTTTACGGAGCAGCTACCTACTGGCGATCTGAGCTATTCTCTTCGCAAGGAATAAACCAATCTGGGTAGGGCGAACTATATATCAAGTGACCTCCAAAGATTAGCCGCTGGTGAAGACAGTGTTTGCAGGCTGTGGTGCTTCGCGCTGTCAGGGTCCGCACGGATGTCGCCGGAGGAACAAACATGCAATTTCTTCGGGTGGCTAGTCTCAAAGGAGAGTACCCAATCTAGCAGGGTGCATTCTGGGGCTATTATCTATTATTAGCTACAAGCACCAGGAAGAGGTTGGTGGCAGTGCTGGCATGACCATGACAGCACAAGCACAGCTTTACTACGAGAATCGAACAGAGCTGTGCCACAAAATCCTGTGTGCAATTTGGGAGCGTGTCGTCTCTGTTGATGTTGGGAGCCATGATATGGTGTCAAGCGCAGTGGTGGTACTAGGTGGATAGTAGCAAGGGCGTCTTTATCACACAGTTTTGGTTATCTGAATGGTAATTCTTACATAAACTAATCGACTGGGATATCATGTGGATACGTATACAGGCCTCATGGCTGACCTCGCATATGCAATGTCAGCCAGTCTACCGCACATGTCAGCAATGCGGCACAGCAAGCTGGAAAAGGATCTTCACTTCTCTCTGACCTCTTACCTCGAGCTGTCACAGACCTACACAATGGAGCTCCAGCCCAATCTCGTAATCCTCCTCCTCTTGGCTGCCCTGGGGATAGCAGGCCTATCTATCCAACGTTTCCTCACCCGCCGCCAGTTTGCACGACGCCACAGATGCCAACCGGTCGCGAGATGCTCGAGCAAAGACCCCTTCCTCGGCCTTGATACAATTCCCGGAACAATCCGCGCAATTAGGGGACATAGGATTCTCCAGAGAGGCTGCGAGCTTTTCCGTGAATATGGCAATACATTCAGGGTCAAGGAGTTGCACCGAAGTGCAATCCTGACAATTGAGCCAGAGAATATCAAAACAATTCTATCGCTAAGATTTGCGGACTATGGTATCAGCCACCGGCTCAAGCCATTCAAACCCCTGTTAGGAGAAGGCATCTTTACTACAGATGGCGAACACTGGGCCTCCTCTCGCGCGCTAATCCGGCCTAGTTTTGCCCGTGAACGGGTGGCTGATCTGAGGTTATTGGAGGGCTTGATCCAAGATTTACTTGTGTTGCTTCCGCGGGATAGCAGCACAGTAGACTTGCAAGGGCTGTTCTTTCTGTACACACTTGATGCGGCGACCGAGTTCTTGTTCGGGCAGTCTGTCGGCATGTTGAAGGAAAAGAAGAGCACAGGGGAATTTGGCACGTCCAAAAGGAGCACAGGGGAGCCCGGCTTTGCAGAGGCTTTCCACTATTCTCAGAAGGCAGCGCTCACTCGGTCCACGCTGGGCCCGTTGAGTGCGCTCTACCGCGATCGAAAGGCTGACGACTGTAATCGCATTTGCCGGGGCTTTGCACAGCAGTTTGTGGAAGAGGCTGTTTATGCAGCTGCGACGAAGAAGGGAGAAGGAGAAGAAGAAATAGAGAAAAAAAGGGAACAGAAACGTATCTTCTCACACGAGCTGGCGTCACGGACATCTGATCAGCGGCGAATCCTGAATGAGCTGATGAATGTCCTCCTGGCCGGGCGTGATACAACAGCTAGTCTCCTTAGCAATCTATTCTTTGTTCTTGCAAAGAACCCACGGATTTGGAAGAAGCTGCGTAATGAAGTCAGTGTCTTGCATGGACAGCCACCGACATACGAGCAACTTCGTGGGCTGAAGTATGTTCAATATTGCGTGAATGAATGTATGTACAGCTTGGCCCCCCTGCCTTTGCCCATGTTGCTTCTACTAACTGATTTGCATCCTGCAGCCCTCCGTCTGCATCCTGTTGTTCCTCGCAATGATCGCGAAGCAATCCGAGACACTGTCCTTCCCTTAGGTGGGGGTAACGACGGCCTCTCACCGGTTTTTGTCCCTAAAGGGACCCTTGTCGCCTACAATGTCTACGCCATGCACCGCCGGGCAGATCTTTACGGCCCAGATGCGGAGGAATTCCGTCCCGAGCGCTGGGAGGATGGCACGCTACAGCCGTGCTGGGGATACCTGCCTTTTAATGGCGGACCACGAATCTGCATTGGCCAGCGCTACGCGTTGACTGAAGTGAGTTACGTCCTTGTCCGGATGGTGCAGGAATTCCGCAGGCTGGAGAGCCGTGATCCAGGGCCTTGGGAGGAGAGCCTAGCGTTGACACTTTGCTCGAGGAATGGGACTAAAGTTGGGCTTATTCCTTGACTGTATTGTGATGTATATACCTCTAGTGAAACACAACCACATTATCCTTCTCTAATCCCCCCCCCACCCCCCCCCATCTCCTACGAAATTAAGCTCGATGTGAGCACTATTTGGGGATGAAAACGAGTGTTGCGGCGAGGAAGGTGGCGTTTCAGCATAATAGTGTGGATTCCTTGAGCGAGGTTTTGGTTGCGCTTAAGGATGAGGAGGGTGGGTTTGCTACGGGGGCGCAGTCGGTTCTTATCTACGTAGAGTCGATATATAGTATGGAGGGGGATATTTGTCCGCTAATGGAGATGGTGGATCTTGTCAAGGAGCTGTTTCCAAGTGGGAATGCGCAGTTTGTTATTGATGAGGCGCATAGTAGAGGTGTACTGGGGCCTAGAGGAGGTGGCTTGGTGAGCTTTCCGTTGTTGGGTCTCTGGGGGTTTGCCTTCGCTGATAGAATTGTTTGCAGGTCCAGCAGTTAGGACTGGAGAAGGAGATTGCCATTCGAGTTCATGTGTGCAGCAAGGCTCTGGCTTCGACTGGAGGTGAGTACTCAACGACGTCGTTGACCACCCATCGTACTAACGAGCCTCCGGGGTCATTCTCTGCAATAAAACCTCACCTTTATTCCCAATGATCGCCTCCATTTGCGCCGGCTACCAACTACTGACGAGTGGCGCCACAGAAGAAGTACGTACGAGAACAATAATCATACCAACCACAAGCTAATCCAGAGCAGGCCCACATATATATACAGGACCTTAGTAAGAATGATAATATGATAATTTTTTATATAATAGATCCACTATGATAGTAGAATTACTGCTCCTTGCCCGCAGTTGGATCAGGCTAAGTCAGGGCCTTGAAGGACTTTGTTAGCTGATCTTCAAGGTCCATCCATCTCTCAAGGACCAGGATAACCTCCTTCCAATTTCCGTGCGTAGCCGGGTATTGTGCCTTTCCAGCCAACAATGCCTGTTGCTCCATGATTGCAGCAGCATCCACCAGGCCAGCCTCGGCTAGGAAGTCCCTCGCATCTAAGTAACGCCTCGCCGCGAGTGGGAAAGTGAATTCAGCAAGGTCATTCACGACACTTGGCAACAGATTTTTCACAGCATCAATAGTTAACTGCAGCGCTAAGACCCCGCCTGATGTACCAGGAAACATGACATTGCTTTTAATTTGGTCCTGAAGTATGCCAATCGTGCGCGCAATCATGTCTGGCCGGGAAACATGCTCAACGTGATGAAAGTGAGAGCGAAACACAAATGGCTGGTTGATATACTCTATACCTTCACCACGCCACGACTCAATAAATTCTTCTAGTGGTAGGAGCACGGCTGGATATCCCGCTGGGTCGTGTAGCAACACCGTTCCCTTGTCATCGTCCACGCCCAAAACCACGACGAAGTGGTCGGCTCCATTAAGCGCGGTATGATTTGGATTGTAAGAGAGGTATCCCATATTGAGAGGGCCAGCTAGAACAGGCCCATGGATGACTGCTTCACGCAGTGCTAATAGGGCTGAAGCAGCATCGTCACCGCGGTGGTCATTGCATGTCCAGCCCATCGTCTTAAGGGCCACATTGATACCGTCGTCAGGATTCGTGTATGGGTTATCGAAATAGGAAACAGGGCCAGTGTCAAGGCAAATGAACTGTTTGCCAAAGGGCATTGTTGTGAGACACTCAATGAAGCCTGACGAAGGTAGCGATTGCGCATCGTAGCCAGAGGCTAGGAGGACCATGTACAGGCTGTGGGCATAGCAGTAAGGGCCACCACCGGTATAAGAGAACATGATTGTAGTAATGTACTCGTCGCACTAGGTATCAGGATGGATACACTCGCGATATAAGGTAAGTTACAAATTGGATTAGTTACAATTCAGCTGTTTAAGTATGCTGTGTGGAGATTTAGGCAACAATTTCTTGACCTCGTCCAAGAAGAGCTCTATTGGCTACAAATTCCGTCTTTCGGATGTCTAATGACATAGGGTATAATCCAGCTAATTTAGCCTTAAAGTTCATCCATGCTTTTTGCGAATTAGTCAAAGCTGGTGTACAATGAGTATAGGCTTTATCCTGGATTTGCTTGTTGTCCCGCCTAATAATAATTGATCGGATCAAAAGAGAGTAGGAGCCCATAAATCTGGCGGTGGCAACGCTAGATGCTCCTAGCCATAACCTTGCGAAAGCCACTAGCACCTTGATAACGCCCGGGCCGGTGAGTCCGTAAGTAGGTGACAATGCCAAAATGAGGCCGGCTACTCGCGGCATACAGGGCGGTTCAGTTTGTTACACCCTAGGATCCGTGTCCGCTGTCAGTCAGTACCTTGGGATCTGAGCTAGCCTCTACCATGTGATTAGGGGGCTGAAAAGGCCAGGACGAGTTATCTGGTACTTCTTTATTTAGAGGGGCCAACTCAGGTCTGTGTTAGCCGCCAATTGCTGTTATATGTATTGAACAAGGCTTCTGAATCAGGCTATAAATGTATTATCGCATCCTAGTATTTCCTTAACTAGGTATCGTACTGGAGTTAATTTTCTCCAGTGACCTCAGGAAACTCCATACTGGACCGATCTAATAACTCGCGTTTCTTCCCCTTCAAAACAAAGTCAAAGAATCTGCTGGTATAAGTAGCAATAGCCTGATGGGCTCTTCCCCCATCGATACTCCCCAAGAATGCGGCCGTCTGTGCCGGAAATTCCTTTCTGAGACCAATCAAATCAGCAGCCACCGCCAAATCCGTAAACGTACCATGCGTACTACCACCAAGCATGAATCTTCTCCTAAAACCCTTCAACTTCGGCCATAGAGCACCCCAGCTCACATCAGTTGTCAAATTCTTCCCTTCGTGCGCCATCAACATGAAGGGCTTATCCAATCCCCGGTCGATAACAGAGCCGAAAAATGTGCCGTCCAGATTGACACCCCCCAATAGACGGGGATCAGAAAGCATAGCCTCTGCTGCGGTGGCGCCGCCAAGGGAGTGACCGTAGATTCCGACTTTAGAGGTATCCAACCCGCAAATTCGGCGTGGGATGAGCCTAGAGATGACAGATGGGATATGAAGCTGGTCGAGGACGAAGGATACGTCTCTCACTCGGATTTTCAGGTCCGCTATGATTTCGGCATTGGTTGTAATGTTTGCGGCGAGGATTGTGGCATTGTTGGGGAATGTTACGATGCCTGCGTCGTAGGGATGGTCGATGGTTACGACGATGTAGCCAGTGCTGGACAGTCTGCAGGGAAGTGAAAAATTAGCAAGACATGTCGACTTAATGCTCTAATGAATGGCGAACAGAAGGTAGGGAAAACGCACTGCTGTGCCATAGCACTGTGCAAGAGTCGAGAATTTCCCAAGCCAGGTGAGAAGAGAATGAGCGGAAATTTTGGCCCTTTGATGCGGCGACTAGAACCTGAAGACGGACAAGGCATGCAGGTTTGAAGTGTAAGTGAGCCGAAGGCGCCGGCTGGGATGCCAGCCTGTGCGTACTGTTCATCCTCGAATGTTGCGCTGATGGGGTCCATGTAGGACGTCAGGGAGGGGCAACAGCTTGGTGGAGGGACAGGATGAAAGAGAGAGATCATCAGAGTACGTGGCTGTGGCGTTGCGGCGTAGGGATCCAAACGATGATGGTCGACGAGCTGGGTCGTTGCGATGCTGGTGTTGTATGGGCCTCCTGTGGCAGGGAAGGACACCGCGCTGATGCTTGGGAGAAGCTGGGTAACGAGAGCGGCGAGCAGCAGGTGTTTGTCAGAGGGCTTGAACATCGTAGCGAACAGTGAGGGGCAGAAGAGGAGAATTGTGTTTGATGAAAGGAAAATGAGAACCTAATTATCAGCAGAGAAAACAGAGAGAAGCTCTTCGTCTTATATAGTTTCTGGAGTCAGTCCCACGGACGCTGTGGCGCCCGTGGGGTCTGATCTTAGCTGGGTCATCTTGATATTCATACTACCTAACAAGGCAATAATACAGCGCGCTCATGGATCCATTCCGCGAATGTGTAATATGCTCGTCTTCAGCTCACCACTTGGTTGATGACTGCGGAGGCTCTGATTTCTGTGCCAAGCAACTAACTGCGTTCGAATACTGCCTCTTCGGGAAAGGCGGATATACGGGTACGTCTTGGCATGGGGAGCAACGACCTCTTTGCTGGATCTGTTCCCCGAACCTTCCGCTCTGTATGAATTATGAAGAGTCACGAGGCATTCTCAGGTCACTTCCTGCCCAGAACGACTGCAAATATCTCAACTTCTAATTGTAATTTGAGACATGGCTATACTGGGACCACTCGATCGGCGTACTGCTCGCACCAGATGCGCGGCATGCGCTCGACGCAGAATCAAGGTCAGTATTCCCTTCTCATGGAATTTATCAGCAATCCTGTTTGTTCCTATGCCCCTCCATTTTAACCCTCAGTAGTGCGAAGGTGGTCCTCCCTGTCGTTATTGCATAAAACGAAAACAGCAATGCGTTCCTCAAGAAATTCAGCCGCAGGCTAGCTTAGTCTTTGTTAATGTCTCCGCGCCATCCAAAAGGTCCCACTGTCTCTCGCCGGCAACTTCTCTTCCTGTGCTTAGGCTCTGCCCCAAGGTTTCCGAAGGGAGCCCGACTCTCTTTGTAAAACATTTCTTCTCGGACTTTCTGGCAAGAAATGACTTTGGAGGCCCCCTGGACCTCGGTACTGTCATCTCGGAATTCCAGAGGTCCCCCAGCCTGTATCAGGCATCGATTGCTCTGGGTGCACTTGATCTAAGCAAGAGGCCGCTGCTGACTATGCCTCTGGGGAGGAAAGATGCGTCTGTAGGAGCATTAACGGCCTACCACACCTCGATCGCCCAATTGAAAGACGAGATTGTAAGCAACCGGGGCCCACGAGATGTCAATCTATGGACCACTTTCTTTCTGGGGTTGTTCGAAGTAGGTCAACAGTGCCTTTGGCGAAAGGTGTAGCGGAAGCTGGCGGTTAACTCTTCAATTAGCTCATGCAGGATATGACTGGAGAAGGCTGGGTGAAGCATTTCCTATACGGCACGTCTAAAATGCTTCAGCTTCGCGGTCCAGAGGCTCATATAGCTGGCCCCGGGAGGTCATTTTTTCTCACAGTACGGGTCTTCGAGGTTTGTCGCGCTCTCATATACTCTGAACCAACTTTTCTCTGTCAGCCGGAATGGATGTCACTCATGGTGAAAATTGAGAACGAAAATGACGACAACGAGTGGCACCCAAAGGAACTATTATTCGATCTGATGATCACATGTTCTTCGATAAGTCACCGGCAAGTACACTCGCAGGCCCTCTACATCTCATTGCATGGTTAACCCAGCGTAGGGTATGGGGCCTGCTCAAACCGGGCTCCAAATATCCAAGCATGTTCCTTCACAACGCCCTCCTTGAGCTCGCTGATGAAGGTTTTGTGGTCCGGTCCGCTCTTACTGATTGGTATGGGAACTTCCAAAAGTGGTCGGCCGACACGGGTACGCCTGAACATGATCCGCACTCCCTTCTCGCAACAACCTATTTTCACGCCATCTCCATCTACCTGTCCGGCATCTTCGACTACCGCCCTCAATTCAACGAAATACCCACGCCCACAATCGTACAGGCTGTTGTTCAGAATCACGTCGATGCGATTCTACGAATGACTGAGATGGCGTTGAATACCACAAATTTGGCAGCCGTGTTGTTTTTTTTCCCCTTGAGAGTAGCAGGCGCAAGAGTAACTACAGCTGGAGAGGCAAAGTCAATTGGTGCAATGCTTCAAGAGATTTCGACGAGGGGTTTTGCTGTTGCAGATGCGTTCAGAGCGGATCTGAAGTCTCTATGGCACCGAAAAGGGATATAACGATTATACTGCGACTTCAGAGGGTTTGTTATTTTAGATCACCTGGATGACAGTGCGTGCCTTAGTCTGAGAAACAAGGGTAATCTGATTGTTCCCAAAGAATCTGGACGACACTCGGGAGGAAGCCACAACACCTTTTTGGGGTCAAAACATACAGTTTGCGAAAATGGAGCCCAGGTCTTATACTCTCTCACTAATTTTCATACCCCAGTGTGGATCAAACTAGGCTATATTAGGCAAGCTTGGGGATTAATAATATCCCGGAAACATGTTAAAACCTGTATTGAGATGTAAAATACATCGGGCCGTATTAGAGCTTTTGTACAACACTTGTACGGTGATTGCGGGTGCCTGGATGTCTGGAAGCGTCGATGCAAACCAGACAAACAGACACGAGCTGCCTGGCAATTCTGGCAAGTCGTAAACAGTCACCTTTCCTGTTCCTATTGCGGCATCCTATCGTTTAGGTGCTTACTGCAAGGCTATGCAGGAGTTAAGTGGAACAACATAAATGACACTGCTCATTATTCTTTTCAGCCTGTTAGCATTAGTTTTCATTTCATTATAAGACGAGCCCACTAACCGAAAGCTAACATTTTGCGATGCTACTATTAGGCTCCTCGGCGGCATCTTTTGCCTTAGTGAGGTGAGGTCCAGCCCTCTCAACAAGTACATTGCCTCTCAAGCTGGTACTTGGGAGTAATCTCCTTCGTATGCCCCTACCCCCGGCGACTTCGGCCGTGAGCATACGCCATCTGAATATAGCCTATCACCCAGCCATCTGTTTGGTGAACGTTCCACGCCCCTGCCTTAATCCCAACCTAGTAGACTACGCTTCCTTGACAATCTTGAATTGGATAATGGAGCAACAGATGATGAGCACCCGACTTATATGCCGTATGTGATTGAGTGGAGGGTGACTCTTAACAACCAGGTCCTAGCAAAGGATACAGAACAAGACCTAGTTTCAAGTCCCAGTTTATACTGGGAGCAAATTAAACAGAAGGCTGAACGCGTCCTGCGTCAGAAAGTAAACCATAATCGGCGCGTGAAGCCGGACGATACTTAAAAGTATTACTGGGTGCAAGAGGCAAGGAGAATTAATTGATAATTAATGAAGATAAAGTAATTATTGCAAGTCTTTAAGTGGAGTAATCTATAGGTCTAAATGTCCAGATATACATCTCTATATCCCAATAATCCCCGAGCCCAATCCAGTACAGCAGCCATCCAGGTACCATTGTGCTTCGTCACTGCTTCCCCTCCAGAATCTTTTCCACCTGACGCGCCGCCGCGGCGCCCGAGCTCATAGCGCCGTCAATCGTACAGGGGCCCATGGCCGCAATGTCCGCCCCCGCGAAGCTCATTCTTCCATAGCCCTTGCGGATCTCGACGGCGCCGTCGAGAAAGTGCCGCGGTGCGTGCATCATCCACCCGCCCCGCGAGAACTCATCCGCGTTCCAGTCGTGCCACGCCGTGTCAATGACCTCCAAATCGGGGACGAACTTTCTCAAAGCGGTCTGGACGGCAGGGATGTCATCGTGCTTGATGCCGTCGGACTGGGAAATCATGCACAGGATTATGGTGTTGTCGCCCCAGCGCTTCTCGACGCGCATGCCATTCAAGGGGTGCTCACCGGGGGGGGCGAGGGCGGAGAAGGGTGTGATGTGTCCGCGGACGCGCACCCACAGCTTGGAGCCGCGGACGGGATTGCCGGTCTTGAACATGGCCTGTACGGGTTCTGGCAGGGCAGGGGAGATGTCCAAGAGGCGCATGGTGTTGAGGGGCACGGCGACGACGACGGTCTTGGACTGGATCGCCTCGCCGGCGCATGTGGTGACGGTGACGCCCCTGCCGCTGTCGGCAATCTTGGCGACGGGCGTGTTGAGTCGCACCTCGGCTTTGGAGCTGCTCTGGATGGCCTCGCTCAGCTTCGTCATGCCGCCGGGGATGCACCACGACGAGGCCGTCTCCAGCTCCGCGGCATAGCTCCCAAAGTTACTCGCCGTCGCAAACAACAGCTGCGTGGACCCTTGCTTCTTATAATCATGGCTAAGCCCGCTCAGCGCACCCTTGATTAGATCCACATCATGCTTCGACAGCCCCATCGCCTCGATCCTCTCCTCCATCGTCTCCATGTTGATGTCGCTGTTATCCACCGCCGTCACGTCCCACGGCAGCGGGAACCTCTTGCGCGCGTCCTCAAACAGCTTCCCCACGAGTCCATACGTCTTCTCGATTTCGCTCGTATGGACTTTACCATCTGCGAGCTGGTAGTAGACTTCAGACTCCAGGGGAGGCTCGAGGCGCGCGAGGCCGTGGCGCTCGAGCTCGGACCAGACGGCGGGCTGGGTCCAGTGCACGTAGCCGCCGCCAAGGTCGAACTGCCCACCAAAGGCGTCGGTGGTGTAGGTGCGGCCGCCGATGCGGTCGCGGGCCTCGAGGAGGAGGACCGAGTGGCCGCGGGTGGAGAGATCGCGGGCGGCAGTGAGGCCGGCCATGCCGGCGCCGATGACAATGGTATCGTAGATGGTCATGTTAGATGTTGTAGTGTTGTTGTTGTGGTTGGTGGTTGTAGTTGAGTTGGATGTTTGTGTAGCTATAGTTGATGGTGGTATTGATGGATGGCTGTTCTATGAACAACTGCCGACGCAGGGTTTATATACCCAATCCATCCACCCGCCATTTGCACCCCTATCCAACACAGCCCTCCATCAGTTCGAATTAAACGTCATACCGTCTTCCCTCAGCTACGCGATCTCTAATCGTGATACAACTGGATGCAACCGGGTACGGGCACGGAAACACCAAACGGCCACCTGTACTGTAAACAGTGGAGCGGACCTCTCAGGCGTCCGAACGGTGTAGACCCGCACCACGCCTTGCCGGCGCCCGAGGACCCCGTGTGGTTGTCAGTCCGGTGCAGGTGGGGCATCTAGCATGCAGATGCACGATTAATGCCGAATGCGGAAATACAATCTCATCATCCAAGGTTTGGCGCCATCTCCGTCCGTCCCCCAAGGGTGATCGACCGGGTTCCGCGGGATGATCACCCGCAAGGTTCGGGAGAAATATTAAGGCTTGAGGTGGGGAGGGTATTTGTATAGCTAGTACAAGGTACTGTAAATTATAATGGTAAAAACATACATCCTTATTACAAAAGTAGTTTAACAGATCTTGGCATTGGGGTGTGGAAAATAGTTCAGGAGTATAAGACCCGGGCGCCGTTTTTGCAATCAACTGTAACCGCTCCGGACAGATGAAAAAAATCTGGACTCAAAACCGCAGCGGTTTGGTTCCAACTGGTGTTGGACTCGCCTGAACTTGGGCTGAATGCAACTCTAATTAATCCTCTGTGTTTGCTGAGAGCGGCTGAGAAAAGAAGGTAAACTATTATCTATTATAGATATGAAAGGGATACTGCTCTCATCTATTTTAATAAAACATTGGCTGGGTGTCCTTGGGTCTCTATCTATGAGGATGATGTTGTAAACAAAGAATATCAATAAGCCATACTAGAAACTGTAGGGGCATCAGTGAATTAGATTACATAACTAGATTTTCTTGATAGATTTCTGAATGATTTTTGAATATTTTAAGTGTTTAAATATGAATAAGTCCTTCCCAACCGTTTTCGACTTTCAAATTCGAATGAGGGAAATTCTTATTCGATTCCACCCCTAAGAAATTCATCACTACGCTAATTGTGATACTCTTCGGACAATGCATTCAAGTCTGCAATAAGGGCGCAGTCTTAGATCACAGATCATAGATCAGATTGAAGTCGTCCCTCCAGGATTGTAATGTGGTTTCAATGACCGCAGTATTAATATATCGGCAGCTTTATTTTATTTTTTTTTTTGGTACATAGCGTCATAGAACATGGTTAACTATTACTTTCCGCAACCAGCCATTCACAGTTCGCAACTGGCTGCGACCTTGTATGCTCGGGCCAGCCTATGAAAGCACCTGCGGCTTACAATTTACCCGTGCAGGAGTCTCTCAGATCTAGAGACTAATGAACTATAGGATTCTCACATCTTATTAGAGAGCCACGGCGGGATCTAGAACACGATATTAGCTCTATGTGAGACTCTCGGTGGCAATCGGTTAAAGACTGGTACTCAATAGTAATCATATTGAGTTTGAAAAGATTTAATGACCGTTAAATGCAGATCGTATGTTCTGGCGCATCTGTTTACTGTTTACGCATGCCGCTCAAGGAGTGGCTGATTTGAGCTCGGTGGGGTTTGATCCAGTCATCATATTGACGCATTAAAGGTTATTCTATAAATGATATTTTGTGTTAATTGAGGTGTGAAGCTATGTTAAAACTAAAGCAATCATGAGAGACTTCTGCATCTGTATGGATACTACGCGGTAGGGACTATTTATATGAACACTATTTCTGCCTTTCATACCATGTCTATAACACTGATGCTCCAGTATATAACTTTGTAGTCAAACTCACATAATTCATTATTGAATACCGGACCTACCGCTATAAAAATATAGAAGAATTTATTTTTGTTTTTGTTTGTGTCGACTGTATACTCTGGATGCATGAAGAACTGGGAAGGAACCACACCTTTCTGCAACAGTGACTGTCCTGAGGGAGAGAAAGGCACCGGAATATTTAGCAGTGATGGGCTGGTGGACATTGCTGGTCAGGACGCAAGCAGATATGTGAAAAGTGCGGTCCTGATATAACTGATACTCCTCCACGCATGCCTCACCACCCCAAGTGTGAATGCCACTATCTTCCCCTATTGCCAGTTCTTCCTCCAATCCCTGTCGGCACCCAAGTGTGCAACAAGGATGCGGTTATTACGCTAATGGGCCTTGCATTCAAGGAGACCTTCCTCAATATAAATCATTCAGGATTCCCACCATTATCGTTACAGGCACTATCATTCAGAACACCCTGATCTAGGCGGTCTCGACTTATATCGCATGGAGGACCTTCTGGATTTCAGGTCTGGCCTGGTCTTGAAGCAGGACATTCCAGGCCGTGACAATGATATCCTAGACAAGATGAGGCCCATTCTTGATGATGCTATCGACAACTCCGAAACTACTTTTATTTTTGTTTCGTCCTTTGGATCGGGAATCCATAATGTTCATATGAACCAGGGCAGTCTTCCTCAGTTTGATAACGGTGTCTACTCGGACGGAGCTCTGCTGTTCAAGTTCAATGACTGACACTGGGAAGCACTATTTCTGGCCTTTGCTTCACAGAGGCTCCCAACTGACAGTGAAGGAGAGCCAGAGCAGAACAGTCAGACCTTATTGGAAAGGCTTGAGCAAGTAGCTGAGGACACTTGATATTTTAGGGCTCTTGGTAAAAGCACAGGACTAGCCACTTGATCTCTTTCATGCGAACGAACCCAGCTGAATTGGTGTAATACTTTTTCTTATTTCATCCCATATCTTTGCAATTGTAATGAGATTTATGGAGAGTTCCAGCTTTACTTGCTGATACTCATTGCTAACCCCCATTCCTTCCCCTTATATGGCGATACCGCTATGCAACTGTATGGTGCCCCTGATACCGAGGGAGTGAATCAAACTTTGCGTACTTTTCGGGAAGAGTTGCGTTAAACACAAATCTAATTAAGCGCTGACATGGCTCCACTCATTATTTTTGGAATATTCCATCCAATCTTGCGTCCTGAACAGAATTAGGCCCTGTATATGCTTGATTTGTCTTCAGTGCCTGTCTCCTCCTGTCATATGCTGTGATGCACACAAGGTTAAAGGTGCTCTCATGCACAAACCATTAAGTCCAAGCAGAAGGTAGGTGGCAAAACGGCTGGCCAAGTGGCTCTGTGTCAGAAGCGAAAGCAAACGGCCACCATAGGCTCCTAGGCGAGGCATAAAGTTCACCCTAAGAAATGCCATCATGTATAATAGACACACAAGGATAGTTATCTTGGTGGCTGCCTGCATATCCTCTCATTTGACGGGGCTCAGGTAAATGAGACCAACCAACCAACTAACTTTTTAAAGATGGGTTGAGGGTAATCCCCCTGCTATTTTCGGTGGGAAAGGTTTCACCTAATCCGATAAAGCAACGACTTTAATGGAACTCAAAGAGGTTTACGGAGACGCCGAGACCAATGCATTTCCTATGGCTAGGAACTGAACCCGCACCAAACGAGTTCGACGAGGGTCGGTTCCAATTTCTATGTGTTGGTTAGGAGGTGCTACTGATGGGAATCATCGACAGAAAAATCAAAAATAAACCCCGATTCTTGGATAAAATACTATTAACGATGATAATGGCATAGCAACAACAAATCCGAATCTTACTAAGAGACACAGATAATTGAGCTTATATATTGGTTAGCCAAAACACTAGATCTATATATAGATAATTCTGCTCGTTATATGCACCTAATAGGTCATCTATATCCATACAATTTGGCATGGCCACCCATATAGATACATGCGTTAGATTGCGATTGGATGAAGTCCAATCCAAATTATAGATTTGGTGGGTTGGATTTGGATTTGCAGCTTAGGTCACCCAGTCTAGGAGAAATCTCAGTTGCCAATTTGCTATCCACGTCCTATGCGACTCCCTAAGTCATGGAACCAAGTTAGCTCGAAGGATGTCTTGATAATGGAAAGGGTCGTACCCCTACGCTGTTGATATTGGGCTGAAGGCTCCTATCTTGCCCTTACAACGGAAGGATGCGATTTCAGAATGATATTCATTGTTGGTACAACTACAAGCAGCTACAGTCATTTGAGTCGCATTCCATAGTTAATATTATGAGCTCCAGTAGAATATGTGGCAATCTCAAATTCTTTGATTGTATTCATTTGCAGCCTTGGCACTCAGATAGTGGGCTTCTGGACGTCAAGAGGCGACACCCCGCGGCATTTGGACACTATTCCTCCACAATCTCCACTTTGTCCTTGTCTGTCCGTTATTAGTAGGATGCACAGAGTTTAAAGTTGGAGAAACTCACAGAATGCAATGTAGTCTTTGATGTTCTTTGCTGCGTCGTACGGCTCCTTGTAGTACCAGGCAGCATTTTCAATGGTTTTACCTGCACAGGATTAGAGGGTTGCAAGGGAAACCTGGAATTTGGGATAATAGCCTACCATCTACAGCCACGTTCCAGTATGAAGCATAGCCCTTCCATGAGCAAAAAGTGGACAAATCCGAGTGCTGGAGGAGGCTCTGATCTTTGATCGCCGACGGTGGGAACTGTGCATCATGAGCGTGGACCAAGGCAAACCCTACAACAGTAGATGACAAGCAAGGACGATATACATAGATGTTTCCTTCGACCGTTTCCCAGGTCTCTGTCTCGGCGACAATATGGTCGCCGACCTTGGCGAGGGCCCGAGGCATGTTTCTAGGCTGATTGGAATAAGCTGCGTAATTGAAGAATGCTTGTACTTCTAGTGCGGTAACCATAAAGAGGGAGAATCCTATATATATAGATATAGATATATGTATAGGCCGGTATGACTTCACTTCTTGCGCTCTACGGAGAGTTATTCCAGTTCAGTTAGATCCATGCATATCTGACCCAGCGGGGAAAAGAGATTAGCAATCGGCATGACCGCGCACGCCACTTGCGGGCTAGATGACACCAGCTGGTGTTAATAGGTTGTCTTTCCGTTCACTAATCCCCCGATATAGCTGCATGTTCCGATGCTATTTCTGGATAGGGCAGGCTGTGAATTATCTCAGATGTCTCTGCTTCCTAAACCTCCGACGGAGGAGCGCCGAGCCCACGCTTTCCCGGATGGATGTGGATCAGAACCAAGGCACCGGCGTGTAAGGTCTTAATGATGGGAGCAACTGCAGATGGAAAGGGGGATTAGAAAAAGCAAAATGTATGGATAGGATTTTCGCGCGAGATGCGTTCCAGCACTCATGGCTCAGCTTGTAGAGATTTGACCCCATTTCCACAGAGCACTTCCTCCGTAGGACTGCCATCAGAAAACACCTTTTTGATGACGTGCTGAAAGTACGAGTAGAGATGTTAGTGTCAGTTTAGGTCGCGGGGTATTTAAGTGATGGTCACCTGTCGGACAGGGGGCAAGGGTGGGTTACCACATACTATCAAGACTCTTGCACATTGTCCCGCCGTATTTGCCGAAGACAACGAGCAGCTTCATATCAATTGCAAGAGAAGCCATGGAGGACACCATCAGCGCCCAGCAAGTAAGCGCGGCGAAGCCGGTCGATGGTCATAAAGATGAGGAAGAGAGCTCTGGTTTCTACGACGACGTTTTCGATACGTCTGCGATTGATCCGGCCCTGACCCGCAAGATGGCTCTTGTCAATGGAACCATTGACAAGATCGGAATGACCCCCTTTCAATGGAAGCTGTTTTTCCTCAATGGGTTTGGATACGCCGTGGACTCGGTGAGTGATTCCAGAGACACCGAACCACGTTTGGTATTAACGCGACCTGCTGGGCCCAGCTCTTGATCGTCTGCCAGTCCATCGCGCAGCCCGCAGTAGTAAAGGAATATGGGAATCCCAACAAACATGTCGCTGGAATCTCTCTTGGATCTCAGATCGGATTGCTGGTTGGCGCAGCCTTTTGGGGGTTATCGGCCGACATTATTGGACGTCGATTTGCCTTCAATACCTCTCTGTTTCTCGCTGCCATTTTCGTGGTGATCGCAGGAGGCATGCCAGGATACATCCCCTTTGCAGCATTGTGAGTGCAACCCTATTGTCGGCAACTTGACTCCATGAGGCTCTGACCGACTGTCCTTGCTAGAGTTGCCCTATACTCCACAGCGGTGGGGGGAAATTACATTCTCGACACTACTAGCCTGCTTGAATTTCTCCCCAGTGGGTATTCCTGGCTGGTTACATTCATGTCCATCTGGTGGGCTGTCGGCTACACCATCGCAGGGCTCCTTGCCTGGGCTTTCATGAGCAATTACAGTTGCCCGGCTAATACGACACCCGCTACATGCTCCCAAAGTGAGAATATGGGCTGGCGGTATCTGCACTTTACCTGTGGAGGGCTGGTTCTGATCTTGAGCATCCTCCGTCTTTTTATAGTCCGGATGGTGCAAACTCCCAAGTGGCTGATCGCCCAGAACCGCGATGAGGAGGTGGTCCAGCTCCTGGCTGCCCTCGCCGAGAAGTATAATCGGCCATTCGACCTCACGCTGGAGGATCTGCGTAAGGAGGGTCATGTCATCCATACAGAGAAATCGGCCTGGTCCTCCCTTCGCATCTCACAGCATTTTCTCGGACTTTTTCGCACCCGCCAGCTAGCTTGGTCCTATACGGTAATCATCCTCAATTGGCTCGTCATTGGCATGGTCAGCCCTCTCTACCACGTGTTTCTGCCTTACTATCTTCAGTCCCAGGGTCGGAAAGTTGGCGGCGGCTCCACCTATACTACGTGGAGAAACTATGCTATCAATCAAGTTTCGGGGCTGGCGGGACCCATCTTTGCTGCCATTCTGGTGGAAAGCAAATTTCTTGGGCGTAGGGGCACTATGGCACTGGGCGCCCTACTGACCATGGTGCTGCAGTTCGGATACACTCAGATCCGAACTCCCGCGCAGAACGTGGGCGTCTCCGCTGCAATTTCAGCGGCCTCGTATGTTTCCTCTCCGAGCGCTTCCAAAGTACCTTGTGCTGACAGGCTCCGGGTGTAGAAACATGTACTACGGCACGATCTACGCCTACACGCCCGAAATCCTCCCGTCCGCTCATCGAGCCACAGGGTACGCCCTCTGCGTCGTGTTGAACCGAGTGGGAGGCATCATGGGCGTGCTCGTTGGCAGCTATGCCAACGTTGAAACGACCGCTCCACTCTTCGTCTGTGCTGCACTGTATGCATTGCTGATTGTCTTGAGTCTCCTCCTTCCATTCGAGAGTCGTGGAAAGAGGATTCAATAGGGAGCAAATGAAGCTCCATGGTCTGCTCCTGGGGAAGGGACACGCTGTGCATCGCGCAAGATACGGGCCAAATGGGGAATGACGTGCCGCCGAATGTAGAAAAGCGTTGGTCTGGAGTTCGTATTCACTGATAACTGCTGCGGAGTTCATCCAGTGTAACCGGAGCTCGGAGGAATACGTCCTTATACATATTTCAATATATCCATGCGATCGGTCTAGACTCTCGAGATGGTGATCTCCTGGCAAGACTTCTCCGGTCGCTAGCCGAAGCCACGAGGCAGATCGTTATATCACTAGCACGTCTCAAACTGAAAAGTGCCCGGTGGCCGGGCGGTTTATCCAGTACTGATTGGGAGCTTCCAATTTTACCTTCCGTCTGTCTCAGTCCTTTCTCACGGTCAATATAAGGTGGGCGCCACGTCTCAATGATGTGGGATAAATACGCCTCCTGTGAGATAAAGCTATGATGCTATGACGTACATCACCGACTTCTCCAATTTCGTCGTACATTGGACCTCGCGTGTGGCTGTGTGTCTTGGCTTTATCTGTCGCGGCAAGACGCAGTCAAGCATGAACTTGCTAAATAAATATAACAACAGTGGTGCAGTGCCAAGATGCGTATTATCATTTCCTGAGTTTAGTGACCATTAGGCTCTATTAATAAAGGAAATAGCCTCCGTGTTTAGCTCACGAAGGCCCTGTCTTTATCTCTAAGTATCCAGACGTGGGAGTCAGACGGCCCATCCAAAAGCGCGCGATAAGCCTCTGGTACTTATTCTCCTTCTCGTTTGGTAAGTGAGGAGAAGCAAGCAACTTTGCTACTGGCCAATACATGGTAAGACTGGTGCGCGACCCCCTGTCTTCATGCGTCTGTAACCATGTGCAATACGAGGGCGTCGGGCCCCCGTATTGGAGCATTTCAACTCGTGCAATCTATACTCGTATTGACTAGTTATCGTCCAGGAATGGCGTGACAGCGGTGCGGTCGTCATTATTAGCTTTCTGATTGTATCCCTGTGCAATCATCGGTGCCTGGAGTTGTGACGGTGGCGCTTGGTGAAAGATTTTGAGGAGACTTCACCTTCTTGTTATCCTAATCGAATACGACAGCAATCTGTTCCTATAAAGCAGGGGCTGCAATGCTCCACGCATTATCTCCTTGAATAAGTCCGGACCCTCGGCCCTCGTATCAAGGGTGCTTGCTCCGCAATTAAGCATCAGGGATCGCCCCACGGGAAGAAGCGTTGACAACAGCTTCCGAACTCTGTTGGAGGTTCCTTCAGTCCCTTGAGCGTCATTTGCACCAATGGAAACTAGGAGTGGCTTGCTTGGGTGATCACGACAGTTTCCGCACCGTATTGCAGTCGAAGCTCAGAGTTTAAGAGCTGTGCATAAAAGCACGGGCAACTGGAGCCAGAAGAAGTTTCCATACGAGCTTTCATCCATTTTAAGACGCTCCACATTCTCTCTCTCGAGTAGATGCCTAGCATGGGGACACAAAAACGGGCTTTGCGGGCCTCGTGCGATAAGTGCCACCAAGCAAAAGTTAAATGCGTCCCCACCGCCGTAGGGTGTCAGCGCTGCCTCGACTTAAATAGTCTGTGTGTCCACAGTCCCCCGGGACGATCGGGTCGAGCCCCCGCAGCGAGCAGGGAGCTGGGGGTACGTGCTGCACGCATCCTTACCCCCCCGCAAAGCAACCCTTCACGAGCCTCCAGCGAACACAACGCGTCCACCACGAGTGTCAACACCAGGGGCTCCGACGATGACAACGATCGGAATTCCCAGGTTCCGTCGTCAGCGGTGGACTTTTCTAACGACTCCATGCTGATCATCGATGAAGAAGCTGGCCAGATGGAGCCCATTGATGCGATGCTGTCGGGCTGGTTTTCCATGCCAGGAGCCGCCGTCAGTCCCCTGTACAGTGGGGATCAGACCACTGAACTGCCCGAATTCGCAACACGTCTTCCATCAACGTTTGGGATGACCAGTCCGAATCCCACGGCCATTTCTGATTTTGCGACGGGCGAGCCTATGACACAATCTACAATGACAGCGCATCCCCTGGTACCCTCCCATCCCACAGACGTTGTCAGTACCAAGGGCCACAGTTCGACGTGTGCTTGTTTCCAAACCATCATTCGGGCACTTGAAAAGATTCAACAGACCAACGTGCGACTGTTTAGTCTGGATGTTGCCCTGAGCCAGAATAAGGAAGCACTGATCCATATCTGCAATGCCCTGGCATGCATCTCCCCTCATGACAGTACCACTCGCCTTTTGATATTGGTTCTTCTCCGCAAGGCGCTCCTTCTTTACCACCTTCTTTATCAATCGAGACTGCGCGATCGAAGAGACATGAACCGTAAAGGCGACAGTCCCATTTCCTCCTGGCCCGCGTGGTCGTCCTTGGACACGAACATGACTTCAGCGAATCAGCAGCATAACCCCCTCTCTCCCTCCGAACA